TCAAAACGACAGCTTAGTATTTTCTTCAACTTGCACTTTTCATCTGTGCATTTCATCTGTGTATTTTACCGTCAGCAGAGGAGATTTGTTGAATTTGCCTAAATTTTACCGCGCTAGCTCAGTTTCTTGGCGTGCACCCACGGGCAAATGGTAGTGGCTAACTGACCAATCAGAGGGCGCGGTTTGCTTTTGTCATGTTATAAAACAAATTTTACTTTCATACAAAAACCCACGGACCTTTTTTAAGAACCACCAAATTCGTGGTGATGCGTGCGGGAAATTTTTTTGCAAGGCGCGAAATACTTCGCCTGGAAGCAGACAGTCCAAGTTCCATATATCTGGGCCTTGAGTGACAAGTCCGGCTGCAACGCAGGCTAGAAATACTTTATACGTGGAGAAAGATTTTGGCGCCTACAGTTTGTTTGAGATTCAAGTATATATAGACATACTGAATCTTGTTGTAGAACTCCCTGATGAAGTTTGAGACGTTAGTCACACGAAACACGTAGGATAAAATTGAATAGCTGGGCAACTAAAAAAGATCAGGCCCCGGTTGTTCAAACGTTGGATAGCGCTATCCAGCGGATAAATCATTATCCAGCGGATAAGTACTTGGGAAACCAATTACGTTATCCAGTGGATAGATTTTTATCCGGTGGATAGCGCTATCCCACGTTTGAACAACGGGGGCCAGGGCAGTTATACTAACATGTTTTGAAAAAAGGTGTTTATCGTGCCTTGATATCTATAGCCCCGGCTATACTCAACGTGATCTGAATATGAAAACCAAACTCCTGCCGCAATACTCGTCGCACTTGCAAAATTACCCTCTTTCATTATTTGGGAAAAAACCCTGAAGTTCCTTCCCAAAAGAAAAGATCCCCTCCCCCCCCCTCAAAAAAAAAGCTCACCTGTATGATAACAAAAAAAGAGATGCAGTGTAGTGTTAGTAGACTGCTTTCCTTTTCTTCTGGGCGAATACCTCTTATTCTGCGGCCTCTCACTACACCAGGGCAACATGAGAAGTGCAAAAATCTCGAACAGCAATTCATCTTTATCTATTTTTTCCTTCCCCACAAATGTATAATTGTACGCTTTTCATTCGGATATTTTGTTCTTGTCTTTTGCGTCAATGACTTGGCTTTACTAAACCATTCCATAAACAGACCACTCACCCAAAAATTCCTTGATTCGCTCTGACAAAGTTTCTATTGAAAACTACCCACAAAAGTGTCTCTAGTGGCAACCCATGATCAAGTGTAGATGGCTTGTTCATGCTGTAGACTTTTGGCTTCCATTTTCAGCTGGAGCTGCAACGTGGGACGAGCCGACGGGGAGGGGTTCCGGTGGTCAAACTACTTTTAGAGAGATTTCCAAAAGCTAAGCGAAGTAAATCAAAACTAACGTTGCTGCTTTCACTGTTTTTTTGTCGTAAGCGTACTAAAAAAGTATAAATGTTTAAAAACTGAAACTTGTTTTGTTATCGTTGCGGTTAACTTGTTATTTCGTGTATCTTTTTCTGTATATAATAATATATTAGCTGTAAATTAAATCCCCACAAATATTTTGGCAAAAAATGCTTTAGGAGGAAGGGGGTTGGGGGGAGAAGGAGGTGAAGATATCAACGACTAAATCAAAATTTTAGGAACCGTTGTAGTATTCCCTTTCATTGGGTAGCTCTGGCCCTGAGGAAGGCTAATTTTGTTAGCCGAAATATTGCCATAAAATAAATAATCCCTTTACCATATTGCCAGCCTTGCATTCATTCCACTTCAAGTGGCGTCTGGCACTAGCATCTCTACATTAAAGATCCGGTAAGAAAGACTAACCAGTCGGTTTTATTTGCGGGTTGAGTGGACCTCTGCATTCAGAAAGATATAAGATATAAGTCGTTAAGTAGTTCTCATTTTCGATGGCTTTAGTTCACACCTTCAGCAAAAGGTACGTATTGTGATCAACTATAAAGCGAGCGATGAACAGTCATGTTTGCCTCCTAGGGGATCTCCAAGACACAGACCTTGGAGATTAGCATAACAAGGTCAGTGCACAAACAGTTAATTCAGATAAAAGCTTGGCGGGATACAGATACAGTCGACTCCCGATAACTCGAACCCTCGCTTACTCGAACTTCGCGCTAACTCGAACCAAAATCGATTTCCCCTGGATTTCCGTCATACATTCACTGTAATTTTACCCTCGGTAATTCGAACCCTCGATAACTCGAACTCCCGATAACTCGAACCAATTTTCGTTTCCCTTCAGGTCATTTTCTATATAATTTTACCCTCGATAACTCGAACCATGTTTTGAGCCCTTAAAAAGTCGGGAAAAAAGCCGTCTAGTGGCGTCCGAAACATTGAATTTTGCATTTCCTATTGACATGTTGTAGGGGTATAGTTTACTAGTGGAGGCTAATGTTGATTCATTACAGGCTAACGTGAAGCAGCTTTTCTTCTCAAAACAGTAAAACGCATGCTCTATTTAGGCTATGTTTTGTTACATTACGTTCTGATTTATAATCTAAAAGTATCTTTTAATTTTCACTTGACATTTCTACAATTAAATGTGATTAAAATGTTCACTGTGCAGTAAAAACTGTTTTTTACCTTACTCTCGGCCATTTTCTTCGAGCTCCCTTGAAGGTTCGAGTTATCGGGAGTCGACTGTACAAACAAAAGCAAAAACTCTGAACCACATTGAGAACAACTGTAAGCTATAGGAAGCAAAGTCACCAAACTCTGCACTGGTGAGTGACTTGCCTTGCTCTTAAACCCTTTGCCTTTAATTTTTTCTTTCTCTGATCATTTGCCCTTTAGCCGAACTGAAACCGCCAGCTTCGCATGGTATTGATCTTGGGGACTGTGCAATAATTATCTGGAGGGGGTGGGGGGTTCTAAATGTAATGGAGGAGGAGGCCTAAAGTTAAATTATGGTGCAGGGTGGGAGGGGGGCGGTAGATGTCAATTTTTTTAAGCTTAGATGGGGGTTACAAGTTATATTAATGTCCAACTGGTACATAATTTATTCAAACTAAACTTCTATGTTATTGAATGACTTTTAAGAAAATCAAGAACAGTACATGACACACCTAGAACCTGTAATAATAAAAACTTTGAAATGACGCATAATCCGCAAACTAAATAGCCTGTGTTAATAAAGGCTTCTTTAAACAAATTCAATAACAAAAATGTCACAACGTATACGTAGTTTGACATAAATCACAAACGAGCGAAACAAACATTACTAACATGACAATTGTATGCTGGGAGAACAGAGAACACGTCGAAAGGCTGACCAATATGCAACTTAAACTAGATCTTCGACAACAAACTGCTAAGCTATCTGGAAACAAGACCCTATTAATTGAACGAGTACTCAATAAGCATGCAGATGGAACATTTGAAACTAAAAGGCATCATGGGGAAGATGAGGAAAACATGTCTGAAGAAACCGAAGAAGAAGAGGAGAACATGTCTGCAGGTAAATCAAGGGAAACCAGTGGAGATGGATACATTGGGCGCAGTTTTGAAGTAATTTTTTCTTTGACAAAGATATCGCTCAAGTAAATACGCAAAGGTAATTTAAAATAGTTATTTTACATCTAGTACAGTGGGGCGTAACTTCACTCAAAGGCCTACTTTGCTCATTTCAGACCCCCCTTCCAGATAATTACTGCACAGTCCCTTTTGCGCGAAATTCTCGATATGTAAATTCCGTCGTCTGAGTCTTCTTTACCCTGAAAAGGGAAACTATGTCGAAAGAAGCAACGCCTTCTGGGTTAAACTTGGTCAACAATTAACAATGCCCGTATGTAAGTGTCCAAATATTACGGGGACGACCGAACGGAAGGTGATTTATGACTGGGCGTAACTTGAGGCAGCCTGGTAATAACAAGAAATAATAAGAATAATAATAATAATATATTTTTTTAACTATCTAAAGACTACTAATAACAAATATAAAAATTATTTCAAGTATCAGAACAATAAGTAATATTTACAATTTTAAACTATATCGTATTGTTTACAAATTGAAAAACTAAATATACGTCCACGATAGAAAAACTATTGACAATTGTGAATAATTTAAAAGTGGGAAAAGGAAAATTAAGCATTACTAAGAAAAAAAACTCTCAAAAATCTAGGCCTAAAATGATGAGTGCAGATGTAGACCAGCTACAGTGATAATAATAATAATAATAATAATAATTATTATTATTATTATTATTATTATTTTTAAATAGTTTTTATTTTTTTAATTAACTTTTTGATGCTTTTTATAATTGTTATTAGTAGTCTTTAGATAGTCATTTTACGACAATTCTCTTTCGTACACAAGAAGAATGTACATAGGGTATATATTTTAATACTTCATCTTCTTGAATCTGTAAATAGTTTATTTTTTAAATCTATGAATAAAGTTTTGTATTATTATGATACTACTACTAATAATAATAATATATTGTTTTACAATTAACTTAAAAAAACTATTCCGTCAAAACACTACTTACAATCCCTTTCGTTTAAAATAAAACACTTACTTTATATTATTATTTAAAAATAGATAATAGTAATAATCATAATCATAATCATAATCATGAATAGGCTATTTTACAGTTGTGGGCTTAGTACCCTAGCCTTCGAGTGAATGTGAGACTGATGGTGACCTTGTTTTGATACAAACCTCCTTTGCTTTGTTATGGAAATTGCAGAAAAATACAAAAACCTTATTGGGACTGGAGTTAACAATATAATTAAAAATAGTAAAACCTACAAGAATATGGTTCAGTCATACTTAACTAGAATTATACTAACCTGAGTACAAACCGTAGACTAAGAATTACATTAACTTCAAAAAGATGTTGCGTTTTCCATTAGAATTGTACTAGGGAAGAAGCCTTGCCTAAAACGCTCAGTTATCCATGCCTTCTGCGGTACAGATGTTGATATTTTGCACCCCTATATTTCACCAGGAGATCGATTATCCTACTGCAACTGCTGTTAAAAGCTGAAAGGTGTTCCTTTATCTTGAAGATTAACATCCGCGTTGTGTTTAAGCAACAATCTACAGAGGTTTCCGTTACCGTTTCTAGTACTCCAGTGCAAGGGTGTATGTCCATGATTATCTTTAATGTTTACATCCGCGTTTTGTTCAAGTAAGAATCTACAGAGGTTTTCGTTCCCCGTTAAGGCACACCAGTGCAAGGGTGTATATCCGTCCTCATCTTGAGTATTTACATCCGCGTTATGTTCAAGTAACAATCTACAGAGGTTTTGGTTGTCCTCTCTGGCACACCAGTGCAAAGGTGTATATCCATCTTCATCTTGAGTATTTACATTTGCGTTGTGTTCAAGTAATAATATACAGACGTTTGCCTTCCCCATTAAGGAACACAAGTGCAAGGGTGTATATCCATCATCATCTTGAATATTTACATCCGCGTCGTGTTCAAGTAACAATCTACATAGGTTTTCGTTACCCTCTATGGTACCCAAGTGCAAGGGTGTATGTCCAAGATTATCTTGAATATTTACATCCGCGTTGTGTTCAAGTAACAATCTACAGAGGTTTTCGTTACCCTCTCTGGCACACCAGTGCAAGGGTGTATATCCATCTTTATCTTGAATATTTACACCAGCGTTGTGTTCAAGTATCAGTCTACAGAGCTCTTCGTTACCCATTAAGGCACACCAAAGCAAGGGTGTATATCCATGATTATCTTGAACATTTACATCCGCACTGTGTTCAAGTAACAATCTACAGAGGTTTTCGTTACCCCTGAAGGTACACCAGAGCAAGGGTGAATATCCATGATTATCTTGAATATTTACACCCACGTTGTGTTCAAGTAACAATCTACAGAGGTATTCGTTACCCTTGAAGGCACACCAGTGCAAGGCTGTATATCCATGATTATCTTGAATATGTACATCTGCGTTGTGCTCAAGTAGTAATCTACAGAGGTTTTCGTTACCCTCTCTGGCACACCAGTGCAAGGGTGAATGTCCATGATTATCTTGAATATTTACATCCGCATTGTGTTCAAATAACAATCTACAGAGGTCTTCGTTACCCAGTAAGGCACCCCGGTGCAAGGGTGTATATCCATCTTTATCTTGAATATTTACATCTGCGTTGTGTTCAAGTAACAATCTACAGAGGATTTCGTAACCCTTAAAGGCACACCAGTGCAAGAGTGAATATCCATTATTATCTTGAACATTTACATCCGCGTTGTGTTCAAGCAACAATCTAGAGAGGTTTTCGTTACCCTTGAAGGCACACCAGTGCATGGGTGAATATCCAAGGTTATCTTGAATATTTACATCCGCGTTGTGTTCAAATAACAATCTACAGAGGTCTTCGTTACCCATTAAGGCACACCGGTGCAAGGGTGTATATCCATCTTTATCTTGAATATTTACATCCGCTTTGTGTTCAAGTAACAGTCTACAGAGGCTTTCGTTACCTTTTAAGAATGACTGGCGAAGGGGTGTATATCCATAAGTAGTTTGAATATTCACATTTGCGTTGTGTTTAAGTAACAATCTGACAAGGTTTTCGTGACTTTTATTGACTGAAACGTGCAGTGGCGTGAACCCATTACTAATATGGACATTTACATCAGCTCCATGTCTTAAAATTAAGCTTGCTGCCATGTAGTTGTTCCAGTCAGCTGCTAACATTAGTGGTGTTTCTTTGCTTTTTCTCCTTTGGGCGTTAACGTCGCCCCCAAGATCAATGAGGGTCTCAATAAACTGACTTGAGGATGACCGACTGGCATGCAACAAGGCTGTGGAATCATTGTCTGATCCTGAGGCATTAATATCTACACCGTTATTTAATACAAGTTCAACTGCCTGTTCCACATTATCGTCGCATGTACCCCACGGCAGCTCAGTCAGTCTGCTGTTGTGCTCAGCCAATTTGTCATAAATCCTTTCGATATCAATATGAAATGGGTTTGTTGTCTTTCTAAGTGACAAGAAGTCAACTGCCGTTTTTCCTATAAATTCTTTGGCGTTTTTTCCCGTTTTTGTAAGTTCCATCTCTTCTACAAAGTTGTCCAAAAGGCCACTAGCTTCTAGAACAAGGTTGTATTTTTCCTCAAAGACAGCCGCCTGGAGCAGAGTAAAACCAGATTTTTCATCCACTTGCAAGAAAGTTTTTCTAGAGAGATTCTTTAGACTGACCTGTATAATGGAAATGATCATGTTTAAGAGCGAAAATAATCAAGAGGGAATTCATTTGGCATTACTTATCAACTATTCTTATCATTCATTCAAAAGATTTACCCAATTGTGATTGGCTAAAAGCACACGCATAATTCACCATAACCAGTTGCTGATGACCAAATTTGGAAGAATTTTGTGTTTAAAGTAGCCTGCGAAAACATCCGTTTCTCCTCGCTCTTCGTCGATGAGCAAGTTTTGCGCGGAGGAACGTCTGCGACTCAGCGACAGAAATTCCATACTGATGACGTAAAATCTGTCCGGAATCCGGTCAGAGGCGCTGATTGTTCGATGGAGTAGTTACATTGTTTTAGCTATTGTTTACGAATGAACGACAAAAGACAAAAGGCCACAAAGGTCAAATGCAAACGCGAAGAATCTCAAACAAAATAGTCAATATTTGTGGAATATAGTCTTTTCTAGAAGAAGTATTTGAGTTTTGCTGGAGCTCTTTGGCAGATGAACACATCACTTTACCAAAATCGACCAGAAGACAGGTAAAATTGGACAACTTTGTATTTGGAACCCCATGACTACTGGATTTATTATGTAAACATTGGTTTGTGTCATCAGTATGGAATTTCTGCCGCTGAGTCGCAGACGTTCCTCCTCGCGAAACGTCCCCGGCGCCGAAGAGCGAGGAGAAACGGATGTTTTCGTAGGCTATGTTTAACGAGGAAATTACGTCAAAAATGCAGCCCGCTACAGGTTAAGGCACCGTTACCGAGAAGACCTGGGGACGAGGTTGAGTTGTGTTGGTTGTGAAAAAAAAAGGGCGGATATTTCACTCGTTTCACGAGTAAGAACTACAGCTGCAACTAGGCGAAATAATAGCTAAAACGTGGCAAAAACAGCAAAAAGAGAACTCGGAGGGCGACATCTGCTATTTGCAGAATATTTGCGGAGCTGGACAAACCTAAACGTACACTATCGAAGATGAATTTAACATCGATGCAGGTAGGAATGTTTCAGCTATGTTTTTAAACTAGGAATTATTTTGAATGAAGAATAAAGCAGTTAATGAATTCGGCTTTCGTAGGATATGAAGAATTAAGCAGATCTCGGAGGGTGTTATCCAGCTCAGCCTTCGGCCTCGGTGGATAACACCCTCCGAGATCAGCCTCATTCGTTAATTGCTAACTAATGCAGATAATATATTACGGGAGTTCCGCTACTGCAAATATACTCATTTTAGACAAAATGGGACGGTGTCTGGTTATTATGGTTACAATATGTGACCTCATCAGTGACAAAAGGGCAAGCTATTTAAAAGCTGAAAAGTGAGTTTTTCGCACAATTTTTTTAATAATAACTATGAAATTCAGAAAATTTGTATGGAACCAGGGCGTTACAAATCTTAATTATTTAAATTATGATTATTATTCTCAGAAAACTATCAACTCCAAAATTACTTCTACAATGTCTTGCGTCGAGGGAAAAGACCAACGAAATGTGGGAAACTTGTTCTGGAAGTTGCAACCATTGTTAATTTGTGGTTTGCGGCTCGCTAACTTTTCTTTATCTCTAATGCGATTGATCCTAGGAAAATGAACATTTCCAAAAGCTCTCTGGTGTTCATGCTTTGGTGAATTTGTCGTGAAAAGCATGAAAATGGCTCGAACAGACAACAAAACTGATGTGACAATTGTCAAGCTGTCAGATGGGGTAGAGTTTTGAAACCAAGACATTCCGGACCCTTCCTCCTCCCTCTCAACCAATGTTGACGCGTTTATTGTTTCCTAGGCTAACCTGATCAGCGGGACAACATTGTTTAGTGGGTAGGGGAGGGAATGACTGCTTTTTCTATTTTTGAAGACGACAGTGTCAGCAAATTGCAAATAAAATGTCGTTGAGGACAAAAGTCTCAGTTAATTTTTGTTCCATTTGGGGAAGTTTCAGAATTTTGATGGCGGGTATCGATGTTGAGGTATTTTGAATGACGCCACTGACTGGGTTCTCACAGCGAAAGCCACATCCCATAATATCGAGATTACATTGAAAAGCTCATCCCAGGCTCTATACAGTGTAATACATTTTTAACTCTTTGCAAATCCTGCAACACAGCAAAAAATCCACTGGAGGTGGACAGATGTAACTCTCCTCACGGTAACTTTAATACAGCGGTGGGGGCACGGATTTGCTTGTAATGTTGAAAGAACCTTTTATGGAGAACTAGCTGGTTCTTCTTCAACAAATGAGTAGTTACTTTCTTTCTTTAAACTTTCTTTAATCTTCAACTATCTTCATACATCTTCACATTGCAGTATCAGGAACGCACTCTCCAAATATCGTTGTCACTCCCGGATTTTATACTACCCAGCAACCCATCCTCCTAACTCAAATTAATGCTTAAGCAACTCTTCTGTGATTGGTTAAAGAAAACGCATTTGCATTGAACCTTCGAGATAATTGCTTCGCCGAAGTGATCTTTTAACCTGAATTTTCGCCATGAAGCTTGGGTTGTGTCAATATAAAACGAGGTGACCAATATAAAAAATTACAATTTAACTGCTTGTATACAAGGTTTTGATAATAACAGAAGGGGAAAAAACAAATGTACAGTTTAAAACTCTAAGGTTTTTGTCCATTTACAGAGGGTACTAAGCCTTTACATCGAAAATGATTGGCTAAAAATTTTCAATAAATTAACTCCGGACGTGATCGAAAAATTCAAAGGGCAAATTCAACATGCATTCCTTAGTGCAAAGCAGAATTTACAAAAACACCAGTAAAATCACTTAAATCTAATTAAAATTATCTACCGACATGAATTCGGGTGAAACGTCATGAAAACAGGCCAAAAATGGTTAAAAACGATTAAGGTACTCATTGCCTGGAAAATATGGACGGATGGCCAAATAGAGGTCAAAAATGTTAAACTGAACAAAGTGCGCAACTGAAACAAGGCTTTGTCACCTATCAAAAATTCTAATTAAACATACTTTCATTAAAGAAATCTTACCGCGTAGATGCATTAAAATGGAACATCCGCTTTACATCGAATTCATGTCAGGAGACGGTTTATGTTGATGACTATTTTTAACGTCGAACTTGTATACGAAAGTGTAAATCTAAACAACTAATAAATGAGTCTTTATGATTCCCAACATAACATACCGACAAAATATGCCCTAGTTAACTCATCATACAGTCACCACTGAAGAGCATCCCCTTAATTTTATGCATAAATCAAACTGGGTGGTAAGAGTAAACTAGATCAAGCTAAAATTTCCATTGCATTTCCATTGCTTGCATTTTTATTGTTTAACAGCAAGTCGAGTTTTCAAAATAAGCACTCTACCGAAACTGCGGTAGTTTACCTCACTGATTATATTTTGGAACACATGGATAGGCAAATGATTACAGGAGCTGTGTTTATTGACTTGAAAAAAGCTTTCGACTTGGTCGACCACGAGTGTTTGCTTTTTAAGCTAGAACACTACGGAGTCAGAGGAAGTAGTCTGGACTGGTTCCGGAACTATCTTACCACACGAACTCAAAGAGTGCAATTTGGAAACGACTTGTCCTCAACACGAGCAATCCGTTTTGGCGTCCCCAGGGTTCAATTTTGGGGCCTCTGCTTTTTGTTTTATACATTAATGACCTGCCCCAGTGTTTAGAAAACTGTTCTATTAATATGTATGCCGATGATACTGTAATGTATTTTACGAATCTTTGCACCTCGGAGATAGCTAGGGTAGTACAGGATGATTTAAATGGAGTTGTACAGTCGATGGAAAGTAGCAGGCTTATCCTTAATCAGAGTAAAACAAAATCAATGCTCTTTGGAAGTTGGAAGAATCTTGCCAAATCACCAAATGTTTGTATACAGTTATACCGAAAGACTTTAGAAAGAGTAGCTGAATTTAGCTATTTACGTGTTGTTTTAGATGAGAACCTTTCTTGGAAAGATCACGTCGAGTATGTAAGCAGCAAAGTCAGTAGGAGGCTAGGGCTTTTGTCTCGTAAACGATCATGCCTCACGCTGGAAGCCTCTAAACAGTATACACATCACTCTTGTAGCCATTATTTGACTATGCTGATGTTGCGTGGGGGAAAATCTCAGAAGGGTGTTGCAAAGAGTTATACCGCCTATAGAACCGTGCAGCTCGAATTATATTACGGAAGAACACCTCAAATGAAACTTTCTGTGTGCTAAACTGGTTAAATCTAGCATTCATAAATGCATTCTAATTTTTAAGTGTTTAAATAATCTAGTACCCAAGTATCTTACGCAATATTTTACAATGAATACAATGTGTTTATTTTAATCATGTATATACCTTAGGAATTTTTAGATAGTATACTTTTTTATTTGTCAGGGCCCCTATGGATACCAGCCTCGTTGCTGAACGGGCTACCCTGATTAAATAAAGTTACTTGCTTACTCACTTACTAAGTCTAATAGTTAAAGTTGAGATGCATTTTCTAAATAATAGTGTTTAAAATTTAACATTTCTCACTGTGATACATCGAAACGTCGAGTAACTTTTTTTTGTTAAATGTCTCAACAAGCAACTGACTATCGAATAGGGTAGTCATATTTCCCCAGTGTCTCCAAAACAATTTAAAGATCTTACGCGTATAAACGAAACGCCAGAACCGGAGACATTAACAACTTAGAAATAAAATGTACGATGAAACCGGTATTAACCGGACAGACACGCGACTTTGCTGGTTTCCACTATTAATGGGTTTGTTTTACGGTAAGCTCGAAGTAAAAAAACGTTTGAGAAAAACTGAGCCACTCAAGCGCTTAATATGGTGTACTTTTAATATAAGATTCACTATACTGTGATCTCCAGATTGGCGTTTTAGGTCCTACAGTAACGTTCCACATTATCAACAAAGAATACAACAAATGTAAGCGAATTTCATCTGAAAAACCAGGTTGGCAAGAAGTAAAAACAATCTGATATCTTACTGGTTGATGAAGACTTAGTCTGGCATCATTCTTCAGCAGCAACTGCACAATGGAGTGGTGGTTTTGACGTTCAGCTTTTTGCAGAGGTGTACGTTGAAACTAAAAACATCACAAGTAGGGTAATACGTATTACTTACCACTTGCCATTTACCAAGGGGAATATTCTAACTACCGGTACCGTGAATGACCTAATAAACGCCCACTTCCAAATAAACGCCTCTCATCTAATAAACGCCCCCTCCACGCTGTTAAATTTGCATTAACCGCCCCTCTCTAATAAACACCCCCTGTCTAAAAGATGCCCTCTATGAGAATGACTCCAAATACTAGGAATTAGCAAGAAGGTGCAAAATCATTCAAATTATTCAGTTTCTTTCTTGATTAACGAGGCTTTGCGTATTTCATCTTGTTCAATGTCAAGATAAAAGTAAGGATAGACTAATGATGGCAACATAATACCCTGAGGGAGGATTCGGACATCCATGTTAGCCGGAATTAAAAGAGCGATATGGATCTCTACACGGCCTAGAATGATCAATTGATAGATATAAATAGGTGCGATTTGAAAGAGAGATATATAATCTCTAGATGGCCCTAACGTATCAATTTATTGATGGAGTGGATATTGAATTCCTTTTTAACTCTTTTAATGTTTTCGCCGAAAGCATACTAGTTTTGTTGAGCTTGTTACAGTTATGAGAATAAACGGCTCTCTTTTTTAAACGCCTCCTATCTCATTAAACGCCCCCGCCTGGACTCTTCAAATTAAATAGACGCCCCAAGCATTTATTGGGTCATTTAAGGTATGTCTACATAAGGTAGCTACCACTATAAAGAAAATTGCATCAAGGTGGCTGGAACCAGTCTTTTTGCAGCTACACCTTCCATTTTTGAGTCTCCTGTACTTCTAAATTGATCTTTATTGTAAAACCATTATATAACATTAGCTCAGTTGGGACCAGGCTCCGTAGTGGAGGGAATAAGCAAAAACGGGATGAAACAGCAAAAAATCGGCAAGCCAAGCAAGCCGAGTGGTGGACTGGGGAGGGGGGAAGGCAGCCGAGCTCCTTCATCTTTATCCCTCCCCAGACCCTCTCGCTCGCTTCGCTCGCCGATTTTCCTCGCTTTCCCCCGACTTCAGAGCCTGGTCCCAGGCCATTATGTATTACACATAAACTAACAGGGGATATTCATAGCTTATTGCTTCTGTTCATTATCTGGAAACTGCACCAAAAGCAGTCTGGTAAAGGAACCCCGAGCATTGTTGCAAAAAGATCTCTGAAAAATCCCTGAAGGAACTGCATAATAAGATATTCACAAAAGTAACAGTCCCGTGGTTGTAGTAAACTACGTTGACTGTAGACCTTCATGGTCTCCTGGCAATATATATTGTTTAACTTACAATGTATAAAACGCTTGCAAAACTCACCCCGTCTTCAGCGTTGACGTTTGCACCATGTTTCAACAAAAGTTTAACAACAGACTCCTGTCCGTACCAACAGGCAAGATGAAGAGGGGTCAGAAAAAACTACCGAAAATAGAAAAATACAACGCAGTTAGATAGCGTGGACACTGAGAAGCCAGCTAGTTCCGTTTATAAAGATGGCGCTGCAAAATAACCTTAGAGGCTGTTATTGGACTAATTTTACGACCAAGCCAAAAATAAAGCCAAAACGTCTTTACTTTATCCTCTTTAGTTTATTTGAAACAAACCAAGTGGAAACACTCCAACTGAGCCCAAATGCAATGTTTGTAGGTCACTTTCTAGCAGAAATTGGTAGTCTAGACAAATTCTTTTATTAAATTCAGAGACCTGAATACCGTCCAGAACATCCTCAGGTTACCATCGTAAGAAAGAATAAAACCAACAACGACAACAACAACAACAAACAAAACAGACAACTAAATAAATTCTCTACAGCGCTTACACTTAGACATTTCATGTTGAGCACGTAGTTGGTTCTAGCAACATTTCCTCTATGACTTCACAGTTTACGATCACCCGAGTAACAGTAGTCCTGGGCCCAGTTGTCGAAACGGTGGATACCGTTATCCACCGGATAAATCACTATTTAAGGCTGGTTTTCACTAGCGACGGAGTCGGAGTCGGAGTCGGAATCGTAAGCGAAGTCTCAAGAGCGACGGAATCGGAGTCGGAAGAATCAGAAAGTTTCCATTTTCTTCCGATTCCGCCAAAAACTCCGTCGCTTATGATAAAGTGAAAATCAGATGTAGGAGTCTGAAGCAGAAGTGGAAGGGTAAACCAATCACAATGACGTTCCCACGCTTTGTGATTGGCTTAGTTCTTCTGCTTCTGCTTGCGACTCCGACGACCTAGTTTTCACTTGATCGTAAGTGACGGAGTCGTAAACGGAATCAGAACGGTGATTTCACTAGACCGTAAAGTTCTATTCTGATTACAACTCCGATTCGATCGCTAGAGAAAACTAGTCTTTAAGGAAACATTAGCGCAAGATTTAATTTCATTATCTTATTCTTTAATTGAAGAAAGTAAGAATCCCCAAGCCAAGCGAAAGCGAGAAGTCGGGCTTGAGGCTTAGCACAAAATTTACATAAACTGGAGAAGACTAAAACCTGATCTCTTTGATCCACATCTTCACCACTTTCAAGAAGCATTTTGACTGTCTTGTATTCTCCACTGACAGCAGCCTTGTGTAAAGGGCCTCTCGACGCCTGATTAAAAACATATCGAGTAACGAGACAGTAATTAAGAAAGGATCAATTTAAATCACACCAGTTAATAAAATCCAATTCCACCAGTCTACAAACCATCCTCTCGGTTATTTGTTATGACATAACAACCTTTACCGGGATTCACTAGTAAATGTCTGTCCATTCGAAAACTATATTATTTGTATCTGTTTGGATACTGGAGATATTAACTCAGACCTAAGCAAACGTCCCTCTGGGTGTTCTACTGTGAAAGGGTTCGTTACACTGCAACTCAAAATAAACTCCTGGCCTGCCAGAAATGCCCAAGTGGTAACGACTTGTACACTAATCAAACTCAGTCGGTTATCAATTTGGCATTTTCCAATCTTTCATCAAGTGTAATGCACAAAGAGCGCGCAGTAGTACTGCACGGCGGTATGGGACGTAACCAATCAGGAGCCAGTATTCATACCACGTGACCCAAACCGGAAGTTGTGTTTATTGAGACGCAAATGAGTCAAGGATCACGTGGGTAGGGTTGATGACGTCATAGGAGTAAACCGGAAGTGAAAAAAACAGGAAATAAACCCAAACCGGAAGTTGTGTTTATTGAGACGCAAATGAGTAAAGGATCACTTGGGTAGGGTTGATGACGTCATAGGGTTAAACCGGAAGTCAAAAAAATCCCCAAACTGGAAGTCGGTTTTTCACAGGGTATTTAAAATATAGTTATTGTGAAAGAGAGTACACGACGCATGCGCAGTAAACAGTTTAAAAACACGTTTATTTAAGATAATCCTTTGTTACATGTGGGACGTGTGCCGTCACCCTACTGGTCAGCGCCCTTTTTAATTCAACAAGTCTACTAAATTAGAGATATCATCTAAGAGTCTAGTATAACCAAATGGAAAACTACGTTTGCTAATAGGGTCTTGTTCGTAGGTAGGTCCTTTTTCAGATGATACAAATAACACATTTTGTTGTAATCTTCGCTTGAACAAATCGTTCATTTCCAATAAGGCATCAGGATAATCGTAGATATTACGTACACCAATAATGACAGTTCTGCTGATCAACGTGGGGTTCATAATCTGTTCCTCCGTCATTTCCTCACACCATACTTTTTGAAATGCAATCCGTTGTAGCTGTAGTTTGTTGGAAAACGGACCACCATAAGAGAATTATTTCTCAGCCATACTTGTCTTTGGACAAACACGCCGCGGGTTGATTATGCAAAAATCTTCAACTTAAGACCAGGTATTGTGTAAAAAAAAAAAAATGCAATTAAGAATTAGCCGTTTAGCTTTTGTCTTTTTTTTTAAAAATGAGCGATTAAGACATTGAGTTCCCACTTCGAAAAAAGTCAAGGAATGTTGTTTCACAATCATCTAGAACATGTTGTATTTCTTTGCAAAATTGTAATTCTCTGTCTATCGACAAACCTATGAAATACCTGTGGCAAAAAACAACAAGACGATTCAGAAGAAGAGGGCTCTTTTAACCCTGATTGGATAGTGAACAATCTATTATGTGTTCAACAGACAAACGCGCTCTCCGTTCAATCATGATTTCATTCTTTAAAGTTCAGTTTGCTCGGAAAAAAGTCTTAACTCTCAACAATATTCTTTGGAACATTGTCCAGCGTCAAAGGATAGCCAGTTTTATTGGACATGTATTCTAACTGACTTATGCGGCTTTGGTTGACAAACTCGTCCAACAAGAAAAGCTGAATCACTGCGACGGTTGTGCTATTCAACACCCAAGTCAAAAACCAACATTCTTGCCTCATGATGGATAATGATGACGCATGGAAGTATTACCACGATGAAGTGGTGGAAAAAATTGACCTGAATTCTATGTTGAACGCTACCGAAAGTATATGCAGTGCTCTCGGCTTCAAACTAGATAAATCATGGGAAGCGTACTGCCAAATATTGTCGTGGACCAGTATTTACCTCGCTTCTCTGGAACTTGATGTTGTCCAGCAGGGTGATGATCTTCAAAGCCGTATTTTATACGCTCTATACTACCGACCAAATGGGCTCAAATGGAAAGATTTCAGTGATCAACAAGAAACAATAGAATGCCTTGATAGAGTCGTGAGAAAAGAAGAACACCAATGGACCTTGACATGATGATTAATGACATTCAAAATAAGCTTTGTTTCTAAAAGTAATGAAATTTCTTCATGATGACTAAAATTTTGAGTCGGTGTGTGTTTGTCTCTGTCTTTGTCAAGATGGGGCTTTCTCTGTCTTTGCTTCGGGTCGACTTTTCTCTGTATCGCATTGTATATAAAGAGTTTTCCTTTAGGTGTAAAAAAATGTCATTTGTTCATAGTTTGTAAATAAATATGGTTTAATATACTAAACACGGTTTGTTGTCTGTCTAGCCGCGCGCGCATGTGTGCGCCACGCGCGATTCAATCACCCGCGTAAAAGAAAAACACAGTGATATACAATGCCCTTGTGGCCCCTGTGGCCCGTTCTCAATAGTCATAAACTTCGTGTCATTAGCGGTTTTACTCAGTTGGTATCGAACCTTCGTACCGAGAACATCATGGGTAAGCGTGTATGTCGTCATTGCCCAATACCGGGATGTCACTCTAAATTTTTAGTTCGATTAGCAAACCATTTGGCTCAGGTACACGAGCTGTCTGACTTAGAGAGAAAATATTGGCTCCAGTTTGCTAAATTACAAAATACCAACATGGTTCGAGTTTATGATAAAGATACTCCGCCAAATACCATTTCGATATAAATAAGAGCAAACGCAGTTGAACCAGTCAGTTATCAACATGGACCCAAGGTGGAAACACCCCTTTCCTGCTATTGTAGCTGGCCCCACTTGTTGTGGAAAAAGTCATTATGTCAAACACCTGTTGGAATCTGGAGAACAATTAATAGACGGAGCTCCTGAAAATATCATTTGGTGTTATGGAATATACCAACCGGCTTATGATGAAATGCTAAGGACTATTCCCAACATCACGTTCGTCGAAGGAGTTCCTGGTGATTTAGAATCTCTGATAAACCCAACCATTCGGAATTTAGTGGTCATTGACGATTTAATGCAGGATTTAAGGGCTGTCATCACCGAAATTTAAGCGTCATTTTCATTCTTCAAAATATTTTTCACCGGGGAAAAGAACTGAGAGAAATGAGTTTGAATTGCCATTATTTGGTGATGTTCAAGTCTCCGCGAGATAGCAGTCAAGTCAGTCACTTGGCGAAACAGATGTTTCCCGGTCATGTCAAATACATGCAAGAAGCGTTTCAGGATGCGACAAAACGCCCTTATGGCTACCTGTTATGCGACCTCAAACCCGAAACACCTACCGACTTCCGGTTGCGCACAAACATTTTCCCTGGGGAGACTCAGCTCGCCTATGTCAGAAAGGTATAAAAAAGCTCCGTCGTAGTGATTGATATCAGTTGAGTATGGCCCAGCGACTAAGAAAGAACCACGATTTTCTTAAGCTCCTCGTCAAGTGTACCCCAGCTCAACGTAAAGCAATTTTGAAAGCAGCCGACGACGCTTTAGTAAAAACCATTTGTGAGTGTGTATTCAACGTACTTAAAGAAACAGTCCCTGTCAGTAAACCGGCAAAGAGAAAACTTATTAAGCACAAGAAAGCCTTGACTGCTCTAGCTGAAAAGAGTACCCCGCTAAACAAGAAAAAGCAAATCTTGATACAACACGGAGGAAACTTTTTAAGTGTTAAGATGAATCATACAAGACGCATGGTTCTCGTTCCTGAAAACACTCTGGAACGATTGCAGCAACGCCAGCAGATATTAACACCACCTGTAACACAAACTGTGAAAAATCTGGATAGCCAAATGGGGGATATTTTAGAAAGTAAACAACTTGGTGATGAGGAAAAGGCGAAGCTTTACAATCAGGTGTTGCAACGGTACTTGACTTATTACGATCAGCGGAAAGGCCAACCTCTCCATGTGAAGTTAACGGCCCCTAAAACAACAGAAACCCCCAAACCAGCTGAGAACGCAGAATCTACAGAGGAAGCTTCTCCAGATAATTCTCTTCCAACAGCAGTAGAGGAAGAGGTCATGAAAAGTATACCCAAAATTTACAAAGCTGGGGCTAGACAGTTGTTGGATAAAATTAAAAAACACCAGGATGTGTTGCACTGGAATGATAAAGGAGAGCTGTTGTATGAAAACAAACCAATCCCAGGTTCTCATGTGGTCGACCTAGTCAACGACACATTGCGTCACCGAAAAGGATTTGAACCAGTGGGGTGGTCCGTGTTTGCGAGGGGCCTGGCGCGAATGAATGTCCCCGAAAACTTGGTTCGTAATCCCCAACGTCAGAGTGCCATAAGAGAGTTTAAAGCAAGAGTGAGAGAGGAGACCCCAGAAAGTCCTTCGCGTTGGCTACCCACCCCACCTGTGACGTTATCTTCTGTCAAAAAGCAGAGGCGCAGAGTCGAGAGTCCTCGCCCTCAGGCTGTTCGATGGTTACGATTATAAATCATGACAAGAGACTTTTTTTATTGTGAAACACAAAACTTTATTTTGTAATTTAATAAAATGTGTTGAAAAGAAATTACATGGTGTCTGTTTACTGAACTTAGTGTCGTGCTTTTGCTCTTTGCTTGTTTACATCAGTACGATATTTCGGAAAACCTATAGGAAAATGTTTTTCAATAAATCGTTTTACGAGACTATCATTTTTACTTGTGTTTTTAGAAAAACGATGGACAATAGCACTCATACTTATATGCCGACTACGATATAAAGCAAAATACAAACAGTAATGTCCGCAGACTTTTGAATAGATGCTTTGTAATGTCACAGTATTAAAAGTCCACTGGTTAGAATTGTTGTTTAAAAAGGCAGTAAATGTTCCTGAATATTTGCTGGGTGGTGATCCGTAAGAATCGAAAAATTCTCCCTCTTGCTCCTTGGTGAAATAAAACGCCACCCAATGCGAACCTGGCTTGTCACTCGTATCCACATTGGCGATAAACAGGGCTGGGTAATGTGAAACACTTGCAGGCAGCTGGTCTGAGGGATACACGCCTTGAAACAAACCTCGTGTAAATTTATCCTTTCTCAAAATAAGGGTCAGTTGAATAGTGTCCATTTTTAGTTTGTGTAGTCGAGCAACACGTTGCGGTTCCCGTCAATTTCAATCACGTTTTGGAATTCAGCGTACACGATAAGGTTAACCGTATTGGCCAGTGGTTCCTTGAAATGAAGCTCAGCGCGCAGGTTACCTTGCTTTATTAGCTCAAAATGGTCACCTGAGCAGTGGTCTGGGGACAAGTCAAAGCAGAATGCTGTGTAACCAGAGCCATAATCGCTTCTACTGATTTGATTACCCGCATCTTGGGATAGCTTTCCAGTGCCTGAGAACAGGCTTTGATAGCCCGCTATTACATTTTGACCTCTAGCTTCGTCAAAATTCAAGAACAGGGGTTTCCAAGGAATTTGCTCTCCGTCTACATAGACACCCACTTGAGTTAGATTGTGATGTTTGAAGTTGAACGGGTTGGTACTGTAAGTTCCATTATATGCCTGAGTATCCACTAAGACCAGCACGATTCGTTTAGGAATGTGACCCAAAAAGATGTTGTCGGGGTTAAAACTGCTAAATCCTCTTGGAATAGACAGCACTTTACAATCGATTCGGCGAACCGGGTACTTGGCGCTGGAGTGTTTTAGTGCAGCCGCATGGCCAAGTATAATAGAGGAGGCCAATTTCACCCGGCGAACGAACAAGATGGCTTCTGTGATTACCACCTTGAAAGTTGGAGCGGCTGCTGATGACATTAGACAAAACGAGTTCTTGGCTCGGTTCAGTTTGATTCTTAAATTCACTCCATTTAGCATCAACCGGTCTTGAAAAGAAAATGTCGCTATGAATGGGCCCCATCATATCCACAATATGACTTTCTTTAGTGAAATCATAGCGAACCTTTAACCCCTTGTTTGCAGCATCGTCTGCAGCCACAGGGTTGGCAACATCCATTTTTCAGGGGTATCTTTGTAAAACATGGCCATAGAAAGTTGACTTGTTTTTGCTTCTTCTCCGTAGTTTAGCAAGGTTTCGATCATGGCGCGATAAGGGTAGGTATTGGTGGATGGAGAGATCAATCGCTCGTTCAAGGAAACGTCCACTTGGGAAAACAGGGAATGTAAAAACAGGTTCACGGGACCTACTTGTGTATCGGCGTCTATGGCGGTTCCATTTGCTTTTGTGATCTTGGCTTTAACAAATAACTGAGTGCGTGCCAAGTCCAAATACTCATCTCCGGTTCCCGAAACATAAAATTCGATCGGACCACTGTCCGTGATGTTACTGATGGGGTGGTACTCGATCCATTGCCCTTTGGAGATAGAGGTTTGTGTTGCAGGAATCGTAAAGAGATCCAACTCTGATTTCGTACATTCCTGAGACTCGTGATGCACAAAGGCCATAGTTACTTCCAGAAAGAAAATTTCTCTTTGGGCTTCTTTTGCTGCGGAGATGTTTTTGCTTTCTTGCCTTGAGGCGAACTGATTTTGGTTCCTTGCCCTTTTCTTTTTATAGCTTTTTTGCCAGCTCCTGATTGTGTCTGCAATGAATTCTGAGAAGGTAGACCGAGGGCTTGTTTCGTGCGCTTGTGGACTGCTGTTTTAATGTTATCTCCATCAAGAACATCTTGGACGACATTGACACCTGTTTGTAAAGCCTTTTTTTCCAATCACCTTAGCACCCTGTTGAAGGTGAGGCATCGCCCAGCGAAACAGACCTCTGAATATGGACCCTAGTCCATAACCATGCTGAAATCGAGCACCGTGAAACGCTGGTAAACTCCCACCTTTTTGTTTGGCTTGATTAACATAGTACTGTTCGTACAACTTGTGATTTGGAGTGTGGAGTTTTTCCATCTTTAAAAGTACTGAGGTGCACTTTGACGAAAATGAAGTGTTAACAACACTCTCCCAAACTCAAATGGTACAGACTCCCCTGTGCCTGTCTTTATATTGACTTCGACAGTTTCAAATTGCTTTCTGCTGACAGGTAAATATTGGGGGCGCAAAAATGATTTACTCACTCGCTCCCCAACCTTTCCTTCTACAGGAACAATTCGAAGCAAAGGTACCAATGCATCTCCAACATATTGTGACTGAATAAGATCACAGTAAATGAAAAGGTCGTGAAAGCCGTATTCCAAATCCACTTGTCTTTCAGCGGTAGAGGTATTAGAAATAATTTCGTCTGGTGAAAATCCCAGCAGATATCCAATGTTACCAAAGAAAAGTTCTACGTTATTTTGTAGGTGAACAGTCACCTTTCTAGTGAACGCATCGTAAGAAAATGTCACGTCGTCATTGAAGCGCTTTACATTCTCGATCAGCTCTTTCATCTTTGATAAGATATCTCCAATGGAAGAATAATGACCTGGTGGTACAATTAGGGCTTCCCATACTCCGGACAATTCTTGGTTCCGAAGGTAGAATCGATTACCAAAATTTTCTTGGACATTATTCCAGCTGTGAGGATAGTGAATTTCCGTTAACGCTACTTCCCAGTCCCCCGTCAAGCTAACGGTCTGAGGTAAACCAACTTGGTACTCAGTTAATGTGTTGCTGGGAAACTTATCGAGGCTGCTATTGCTAGGGAGATGCAGATAAAACTGTTTTACCTCCATCGTACCCTGTGTTGAAATGAACTTTTTAATCTGGGTATTCTTAATTTATTAGAAACCACACACCATTCATTTTATTATTTCATTTTCTTTTATTCACTACACAAAAAATGCATAAATTACAATTTCAAAATATCTCTTTCTTGAACCCAAGAATCAAATTTTGGATCTTTGTATCCTTTCCATCTCACCAGATACTCTACTACGCCTTTACGCTTTCTCTTCCGCAAAATCTTCTCGACGCGGTACACATCATCGTTCTTAATAATTTTCTGTAATTCGGGTTCATAAAATTTTCCATCTAAGATTTCACCTGCATCATCTTTTAGTTTATAAACGGGTACTTGACGAGCCATTCGCTTGTAAACAGTAAAAATTTCTTCCGTAAAATTAGGTAAGTAAGATTTTTCAAACATTCTCTTCACTTTGCTAATCCTGACGCGATCTCCCACTTGAAATTTATATCGCACAGGCTTTTGAACATCATCCCCATACAAAGTATCCCATACTTGAGCTTCATTCGCTTTAGTCACCTGACTCGGTTTCATTTTAATACTTCGGTGGTAAGTGTTATTGTAAGAAGACACTAACTGGGGTAATACATTGATATAGGTGAGAGTGTTTTTGGCCGTGAAATATTTGTACATCTTATTCTTAAATGTTCGGTTAAAACGCTCAACCACTGAGGCTTTGAGCCCAGAGTTAACAGTGAAAAAGGCAATGTTATTGTCACGCAGAAATTTCTGGAACACGAGATTCTTGAACTCTGTTCCTTGATCTGTTTGCAGTTTGATGGATTTGCGACCAGTAGAAAGGATCTTTTGAAAGGCTTTGACCAGTTCCTGACCTTGTTTTGTCTTCAACGGTAACACAAACGCGTACTTGCTGAAGATATCTATACAAGTCAGTAAGTATTTATAGCCCTTGTTGTAGCGACTGAGATTTTGGAGGTCGACCAAATCCGCTTGAAATTGCTCATCTATTCCAAAAACGATGACTCGGCTTCTCTTGTAGCGTCTTCGCGCGGGTTTGTGAAGAGTATAAACATCTTGCTGACTCAACCAATCTCGGACTTGTTTACGCGATATCTTGTTCTTTCCTGTCTCTTTGACTGCTCTGTAAACAGCATCTAAACCACCGAAACTTGCGGGTTGACTTGGGTCGAGGTAGATGCTGGCTAGTTTTTTCTCCATCACAAAATTCCGAGTTTTGTACAACCACTTTACCACCGCAGCAAGCTAATACACAACGTATGCGACTGAAAATGTGTTCAAAACCAAAAGTGGATGATGGCGGAAAGCAACCCATCACTAGTGTTTACCTGAACGGTAAAAGATGTAATGACTTCTCTCTCTCTGGTGCTCCTTTATATAGCTACTGTCGAATCTGGGTGAGAGTGGGAACAAGAAGGTGAAATAGTAGTTCCCATTCCTCCTCGGTTAATTCTAGCTGATCCGCGAAGTTCAAAAATACCACCAATCGTCCCCAGTTTACTTTTTGAAAAGACCTCAGAGTGGAGTTTTTTTTCAACCTTTCTAGAACTCGAACCCGGCAGATCTTTAAATTTTTGTTGAAGCATTTCCATTTCACTTAAGACACTTTCAATGTTTTGGCTTGTGCGCGATACAGTAAAAAGTCGATCCGAAGCAAAGACAGAGAAAGCCCCATCTTGACTAAGACAGAGACAAACACACACTGACTCACAATTTAGTCATGAAGAAATTTTATTACTTTTAGAAACAAAGCTTTTTTTGAATGTCATTAATTATCATGTCAAGGTCCATTGGTTGACACGAAGTTTATGACTATTGAGAACGGGCCACAGGGGCCACAAGGGCCTTGTATATCACTGTGTTTTTCTTTTACGCGGGTGATTGAATCGCGCGTGGCGCACACACGCGCGCGCGGCTAGACAGACAACAAACCGTGTTTAGTATATTAAACCATATTTATTTACAAACTATGAACAAATGACATTTTTTTACACCTAAAGGAAAACTCTTTATATACAATGCGATACAGAGAAAAGTCGACCCGAAGCAAAGACAGAGAAAGCCCCATCTTGACAAAGACAGAGACAAACACACACCGACTCAAAATTTTAGTCATCATGAAGAAATTTCATTACTTTTAGAAACAAAGCTTATTTTGAATGTCATTAATTATCATGTCAAGGTCCATTGGTGTTCTTCTTTTCTCACGACTCTATCAAGGCATTCTATTGTTTCTTGTTGATCACTGAAATCTTTCCATTTGAGCCCATTTGGTCGGTAGTATAGAGCGTATAAAATACGGCTTTGAAGATCATCACCCTGCTGGACAACATCAAGTTCCAGAGAAGCGAGGTAAATACTGGTCCACGACAATATTTGGCAGTACGCTTCCCATGATTTATCTAGTTTGAAGCCGAGAGCACTGCATATACTTTCGGTAGCGTTCAACATAGAATTCAGGTCAATTTTTTCCACCACTTCATCGTGGTAATACTTCCATGCGTCATCATTATCCATCATGAGGCAAGAATGTTGGTTTTGACTTGGGTGTTGAATAGCACAACCGTCGCAGTGATTCAGCTTTTCTTGTTGGACGAGTTTGTCAACCAAAGCCGCATAAGTCAGTTAGAATACATGTCCAATAAAACTGGCTATCCTTTGACGCTGGACAATGTTCCAAAGAATATTGTTGAGAGTTAAGACTTTTTTCCGAGCAAACTGAACTTTAAAGAATGAAATCATGATTGAACGGAGAGCGCGTTTGTCTGTTGAACACATAATAGATTGTTCACTATCCAATCAGGGTTAAAAGAGCCCTCCTCTTCTGAATCGTCTTGTTGTTTTTGCCACAGGTATTTCATAGGTTTGTCGATAGACAGAGAATTTAAGAATTTGTTCATGCTTAGCGTGCGTATACCGAGTTATGGATGCACGCGGGAAGTTTGGAGAGCACGAAAGATGCGTAAGAGTTGCACGAGGCGATAGCCGAGTGCAACTCTAGCTTCTTGAGTGCTCTCCAAACTTCCCAAGTGCATCCATGACTCGATATACGCACAGCTAAAAGCATGAGCAAATTCTTTTATAACATAGCTGACAAAAATGCTTGCTTTTTGATTAACTGCAAAATTCTCGTAACGCGCTACACAATAACAAACGGTTCTATTGGCTGATTACGAACACGCCACAATCGTCTAGTTTGAATGAAAATGTTCTTTCTGTAAAACTGAGAAAGACAATTTGCTTCTTTATTCGTTAACGATCAATGGAAACTAAGCAGAAACAAAGGTAAAAGAGTCTCAAAGTTCACCTAAAGTTAAAATATTAACATGTTTGTGAGAAGTCGTGGAGTATGGTTTGGATTTGCTGAAAAGACGTTTACGTTTTGCTCGGCGAAATCCAGAAAACATGCTTTAAGCGAAGACGACTGTCATCCTTCTTTAAAGTTATATTCATTTGCGAACATTGGCTGGTCATTACGGCTTCTTGAGAAGACCTGGCAGCAGTTGTTTTTGTGAGTAATAAATTTATGTCTTCTTGTGTAATTTGTGTTGTTATTGCGAGAGAAATTTTCCTGCTTCAGTCGGATTGTTCGGGGATAACAAAAGTGTGTAACAAAGTTAAAACAACAATAAAAACGGAAATTTTACCCTTAAATGTTGTTGATGACCAGTTGGTGTCTGTTCTGTTCCCAATGAATGTCTTTTGGCCAAAATTTGCTGCAGCTGGTCTTCCGACAAATTTGCGAAACGCGCAACTTGCGAGTTTTTTTTAATTCGGCTCGATTTTTGCTGCTTGTTGGATCAGGACCTAAAAGGTCAATGCCGATACAAAAATTGGGCAGTTTTTCGCTGGTTTCGTCCATATTTTGAAGAGAAGGAAAACTGCACTACACTGCAGTTTAAAAGACGACAACTGTACTTTGCAGCCAGATAAAAAAAAATGCTCACGTCATCTTATTTACGCACGGGCGTGCGTAAATAAAGATTTTGTTCATAGCGGCTCAATAGGACTTAAATAGGGCAAGCACGCGCGCTATGTTATAATACAATTTTGCAAAGAAATACAACATGTTCTAGATGATTGTGAAACAACATTCCTTGACTTTTTTCGAAGTGGGAACTCAATGTCTTAATCGCTCATTTTTAAAAAAAGACAAAAGCTAAACGGCTAATTCTTAATTGCATTTTTTTTACACAATACCTGGTCTTAAGTTGAAGATTTTTGCATAATCAACCCGCGGCGTGTTTGTCCAAAGACAAGTATGGCTGAGAAATAATTCTCTTATGGTGGTCCGTTTTCCAACAAACTACAGCTACAACGGATTGCATTTCAAAAAGTATGGTGTGAGGAAATGACGGAGGAACAGATTATGAACCCCACGTTGATCAGCAGAACTGTCATTATTGGTGCACGTAATATCTACGATTATCCTGATGCCTTATTAGAAATGAACGATTTGTTCAAGCGAAGATTACAACAAAATGTGTTATTTGTATCATCTGAAAAAGGACCTACCTACGAACAAGACCCTATTAGCAAACGTAGTTTTCCATTTGGTTATACTAGACTCTTAGATGATATCTCTAATTTAGTAGACTTGTTGAATTAAAAAGGGCGCTGACCAGTAGGGTGACGGCACACGTCCCACATGTAACAAAGGATTATCTTAAATAAACGTGTTTTTAAACTGTTTACTGCGCATGCGTCGTGTACTCTCTTTCACAATAACTATATTTTAAATACCCTGTGAAAAACCGACTTCCAGTTTGGGGATTTTTTTGACTTCCGGTTTAACCCTATGACGTCATCAACCCTACCCAAGTGATCCTTTACTCATTTGCGTCTCAATAAACACAACTTCCGGTTTGGGTTTATTTCCTGTTTTTTTCACTTCCGGTTTACTCCTATGACGTCATCAACCCTACCCACGTGATCCTTGACTCATTTGCGTCTCAATAAACACAACTTCCGGTTTGGGTCACGTGGTATGAATACTGGCTCCTGATTGGTTACGTCCCATACCGCCGTGCAGTACTACTGCGCGCACTACAATACATATCTCACTGAACTTACTTTTGCCTTCTCGGCTCTCTCCGTATGGGTCAGGACCTGTTTCTTGTCCTAGAATGATTAACAACTATATTTATAAAAGGTTCTGCAATATTTTTAAAGCCGAAAGTTTTATAAAGAAGCACTTCTACAGACAAAATAGGACATCCAACTAATTAAAAGCTACCTAGCGAAACTTTCTTTTCAAAGTTGTCTTATGGTTTTAGAAAACAATGATACTTTAATTGAGTCAATATAAAGATTTAGCCGAGGCTAAAGACGAATCTCATGTAACTATTACATTTACTTCAAACAATTATTTTGTAACCATCGCAAAGAAATGAACCTGCCATCAGTTGAGAAATAGTACCTTTTCAGCGGAGAACTTAAAAAAAAAACGCCTGTCCATGATGGGTCGACAACTAAGCCCACGACATAGTCATGTGATACTGATCAGTATCAGTAAATTCGATCAGTGGATACCCTGTTTTGACAGCTGTCAATTCACCACAACATATATGTGCAATATCAGGTTGCAGGCTCCCATACTAGCTAGAGAGAGTGACAATTTACACTGGTTGCCCTGTGGTACAGACAGGTTGGCAAACGTATGGTCAAATGCCTACTAAAATTTTGGCTGTGGATAAACAACCAAATTTTCTTAGCTATGGGGCTCGATACTTTAACAAACAGCCAAGACCCACTGCTCGATTTTTTATCTTCTAGGCCTTTACCTATTTTCAGTTTTAATCGTCAGTACAAAGCGGCCTACCTCACATTTATCTGAGCTTTTGTCAATCGTTAGTGAAGCTGTCTCTTGATCTGATTCGGCTGAAAGAGACAAATCACTACTAAATAACATATCTAGTGTGAATGTACTGTTACAAAAATAATACTCACAGCAGGTAAAATTACTGTACGCAACATGAAAAGTGTAAACCCTATACAAACATTCACCTGTTTCACTTGCTGGCCTGATTTTAAAATATTAACGGCTACGTTTGAGAGGAAATATGAGAATCCAAAGAATTCAACTGAGAGCAATTATACACTGTAAACATAACGTTTTTATTTCTTCTTTGCCGTGAATTTTTATCGAGGTCAACTAATTTCTCATGCACTGTCAATTTATTGCAAACAGTTTCAGGAAAGTAATAACAAACTTGGGAGATTTTCTATCGTTCGCATATTTAAGACCCCCTCCCCCTTGCAACTGACCTATGACTCTTTTGATCCAAGATAGCTGCTGTAGAAATGCAGCAGAGGCTATAACAAAAAAACAGCATTTTTATCAGGGTTTTAAGTAGAGAAGGTAACCTGTAGACCTTTTTACCGATACGGCGGCCATATTGAATTAATTCGATTGGAGGAGTATTATAGGATTCCTGGGGGGCATGAGCACATTTCGTTTGTATTTTCGAGCGCTTTTCGGGAAATTTTTTCTCAAAGTTTTCTTAGAATAAGATTGTAATGGGAAAAAAGATCCTTGTGCCGTGTTTGGAGGTAATAATGGTCGCCTTTTTCTAGTTTAGTATTAGAAATATAATCTTTCACTGTATATTTCTCGGAAAAAAAGGCTATCATTATTACATCCAAACGCGGTACAAAGATCTTTTTTCCCATTACAATCTTATTCTAAGAAAACTTTAAGAAAAAATGTCCCTAAAAGCGCTCGAAAATACAAACAAAATGTGCTAATGCCCCCTGGGCATCCTATAATACTCCTTAAATCGAATTAATTCAATATGGCCGCCGAATCCGTAAAAAGGTCTATTGTGGCCTTCTGTGAGCAAATTGTATTCTCAGGTCACTGATTTCAGTTTTCAATTGTTGCTGCCGGACATTAGCCGGCAGCAGACCATATTCTTGAGAAATTTGAGATTTTTGGTTCAATGGTTCGATGTTCAATCAGTCTGTGACTGTAGCGCTTTGCAGTGGGCGGTTTGTTTAAGGCAAGTGCGTAGCTGCGGCGCCTGTTTTTCTCTTAGGAGTAACCCGCCATTATGTTTTGTTCCCGGTATTTAAATAAGATCAGTGCGCCAGAAATCGTAGTCCATCGGATGTTTGCTGCCTTTTTAACGGCCCAAATGGTAAGAACAGTTCAAGAAGTATTGTACTGAACATTTTTTTTCTCGGATTATTTTTTTTATTCTAGGTTTCAAGATTAGTTATAGCGAGTACACTATTCTTTTTTCACACAGATTGTTATCTCGGGAATCAGGATTGTAAGTTAAATAGGTGAACGGCTTGTGCTGTATGTCTACCTGACCTGTGAACAAACAAGTTTTGGCCTTTACGTTATTTGTTCACAACTCTTCTCGCTATGTGTACGATGATTGTTCGATGAAGAAACAGCCTATCAGCACTGCTGTTGTTTTAGAATTGTGAATGATTAAAATGAATTACAAAATCATATTGAAACGAGTTATGTGAATGTAAGCATATTTGTCATTGTGCTCGGTTCATTTTTTATATTTCGCTCTGAGTGTTTCATAATTCCAACAAGTCGAAGTTAAAAATTCATATATTCAACTGTTCTAAATACTGCCTTTGTCCTATTCGCATTCCAACTAACGGCAGCACTTCCCTTCTCAATGAGAACTTCTAGTTTTAATAGTTTAAATTGAAGTCAATTTCTTATAAAGAGCTTTCAGGCTTACATGATTTTTCCATTAGAATCTCCTTACAAATCAGGTAGTTTTCTTCTTCAATAGTTGTCTCCAACCCGATACTCTTCAAGTTCACTTTCTTCTTTATGTCATTAGTCACAAGGTATCTCTCGGCAACGTCATTAAGGTGACCAGACTGATAGTCACTCCACAAACTTTCAAGGCTCTCCAAGGAGGGGCACCGAAATGTTATTTCTAGAGATCCTATACCCACAGATTGCAAGGCCATGTTGTGCGTGCCCTTTATATATTCAATCAGGCCAGACACTCCTTCTGTGGTTGCAATGGTACGATGTTGGAAGTACATTTGTATTTGTCGTTGTAAAGTATCGTGGACTACTTTACTCTTTTCATCGTTAAGGTCTTGAAAAAAATGCTTTGTAGTAATTTCTGAAACATAGACAACGCGTCGAGAAATAAATGTCTTTATTAACGAAACCCAAAATGTCGCGAGAAACGTATTCTAGACTACTATACATCGTTCGAAAGTCAACACCTTGCATTGGTCCCCATATCTGTACCCTGAGAAAACAGCCGACATTTCGCGACGACACATCTTGTTCCTCTACTAAATGACGTCTGAGAAACAGAACGAACACGGAAACCAGTTCCATACTGATGTCACCGTAGTGACACGTCGGCTGTTTTCTAAGGCTACCAGATTTGAAGTATTCTCGAATCCAGGGTAAAATGTGGTGTTAAACCAGAGTTGGTAATTAAAGTGGGTAATGAATTACACTACATACACTATACTACTACAGTGTAACGGTAACAAGTTCTGTGGAAAAAAGCACCTTTGGGTAACCTAACAATTACTCTATTCTTTATAAATATACTAGTAGGCAATAGCAAGGAAAACAAATCATGTTATTGTTTACCTGGATCACCAGAAGATTCTGAATTTTTACGCTTACGAGTGTTTTGTGACTGAGAGACGTTAACTGTGAATACTTTAGTTTGATTTCTTGGTACAGCATCAGTTTTTTGCTGACAGTTACTTTCAACAGAGGTTTCTGAAACGAGCTTCTCGCCAACATGGGAGTAGATTCTTGGCTTACTGTCACTTTCCATAAAAGGCTCTGCGAAAACAAACCATGGTTACAAAAAATAATTTCATTGAAACATAAGGCTCAGTCAGTTCCAAGTGTGCCATTTCCTCCCTGGACAGGGTTAGGCATTAGCAGATTGTGAGTTCCCATGGTGTGGAATATTTTCATCAAAGGTCTGCCAAGAGGTGGGGAATTTTTTTAATTGAGCAATTTCACAATTTCCACTACTTCAGTTTAAATATAGGTAAAAAATATTAAACCTTTTCAGCAACGAGATAGCGTGTATATGAAGATTGATATTGTGAATATGCTTCAACTATACTTCTCAGATGGCTCGATAGATAAAAAGGAGGAGTACCGTGTACTGCTATATTTAGTAGTAAAATAGTTTATGCATTCAGTCCGGCACATGTGATGTCCAACCTTTAAACCACATCTTATACATGTATCAATTACGTGTGTAAACTTATGTGTACTTATGCACGTACAACCACACAGAATCCCTTTGCCGATGGGCACTCGTTCATAGGCAACATCACCCTCGATTTCATTGATTATAACTCTTTCACAATACCTTTATGGTCCACTGCCATGCTTTCCGTCCCCTGAAAAGCCTGGCGCTTTGTTTCCAAGGAGTTCGCGGCCTTTAAAGAATCCGCCTCTGTGAAAAAAAATGGACGAAAACAGTCCGGCGGCGATTACAGTAGAACCTCGATTTAACGAAGTGCCAAGGAATTGGGGAAATTTGTTTTGTGTCGAGGGTTCGTAATACCAAACACCTCGATTTAACGAATTTTCGAAAAGACAACAAAAATGTTCGTTATATCGAGGTATAGTTAATAATCAATTTACAAAACCCAGCATTCCCGGATCTGAAGAATGGCTTAGTACTTAACTGTATATAGAACAAGCCTTTAAAACAAGCTTTTTACAAAATAATGTATATATGTTTTGTAAGTCATTCACATCTCTACCATCCATAACCACCCGAGTGAAACCACGTCCCATGACGACAACTGTGACCCTTTAATGTTGTGGAGACCCTTATTCTAAATATCACAGATCTTTTCATGTATTTAAATCCACTTTGACAACTTCCAATACAACTTTAAAAGGTGTGCACAAAACATTTAAGCTCAAGAAGCAATAGGAATTCAGAGTCAATTCGATGGCAAAAACTACTGAACATCAAAACTTTTTAAGGCGCTATAGATCTATTTTAAGATTACCGTCCAAAACGGTTCCTTCTTGGTTATACAGTCAGCTCTATAACAGAAAGGAAAAGCAGGCATCTCAAAATTTCAAGTAGCCAATTTTATTTTTGCATGATTGTCACTGCCCAGCACAAAACCGACTGTCTTTGTATGGTATCCTTCAGTAGCATTTTAAGTAACAACACTGGAAGGTGATTTGTTAGGAAACTAATCTTTTAGCATTGTAAAGGGGTGTATTTCGTACCACGACTCATTTTCCACATTCTGTTCACAAGGGCCTCACATTGCTCCTTCCAACTGTACATCTTCCCATAAGAAGCTGTCAGTGATTTAATCTCTTCCAGCCGCATACGATGCCTGGTACGAACAGCTTCTATTGCTTCTGCCCATTTTCCAGGATTATCTGAATTCACGATGCATGAAGAACCAATCGGAACATTTTCTAATGCTTTGGCAAATCCTGACCTGCTGCCTACAAGAATGGGCAAACCTGCAGACAAGGCCTCCAGTGCAACAAGACCAAATCCTTCTGATTTTGATGGCATGATGGCAAGGTCAACTTCACACAACAAATCTTTAAGTCTTTCTCTACATTGTACAAATTTTCTAACAGTCAACTGTGCTTCTGCAATACCACGTTGACGAAGTTTTTCTCTAACTTCTTCTTGCTTTCCTTCAGGCGCTCCGACAAAAATTAGATGGTAAGGTTTGTTTTTTAGCCGTTGATCAGTAAATGCTTGAGCAGCAATGTTGTATCCCTTCAGTTCAAAGTCCTCATCATCTCCACGACCGATTAGGAGTACTTTAAACTCAGCATTTTCATTAGGGGTTTGCGTTAAATCCCCAAACTCCCTTTGGAAAAGGCCTGGAGTAATGGACAAGACTTCTTGATCAGTCTTGCATCGCTGTAAATATGAAGTGTAGGCTTCTTTAAGTCTGGGTCCCACAGGCACAACAATGTCAGCGAGTTTGCACAGTTCAACTTCTGATTCTTGTTTTGTTTCACCTTTTGAAATGGGATCACTGTAGCATTTGTATCTGCTCAGGTCCTCTGGAGCAGTGTGAACCACTTGTACCCATTTGCAATTTGAAAACTGAGGTGAGTCTCTGATGAATTGTACTTGCCGACCAAGTTTTACACCATGACCAACAACGATGTCCATGAAGTGGTACCGGGGAGGGATGGTCAACCAATCAAGACGATCGTATGCGGCACGTTCTTTCGCCTCAACAATGGTGATTCCATAGCCGCCAGCTTCTCTTATGTCTTCAGTGCTGCAAGCTTTTACTGGACATAATAGAGATACATTTACTCCTGGCTGCTCTGAAAGGTGAATAGCAAGCTCTCTGTTTATGGTTGACAACCCACCAGCTGATGAACCCCATTCATCACCAAGAAGAGTAACGTTCAAGGTTCTGCTGGTTGCAGATAACGCACTCTGTCCAGTTGCTTTCTGTGGTATGGTTTCATCTCCAGTTTTAGAAGAGCTAGTCTGGAGGAAAGAACGAAAATAATGAGAACGCAAGCCACTAGAAAATGCTGGAGACTTTGTTATTGTTTACTGTCAGGAGACCTATAAAAAAGCGGCCTTGGTGAGTTTTAAGTTTCTAATTGTACTTCAAAAGGTTTCAAATTGTCTTCAGAAATAAACAAACAGACGGTAACATTTACTACACAAATCACGTGTTAATTTCCTGTTTTAATCGTTTCAAAAGGCATAATTTAGAACTGCATATTTTGTTTTTAAATTGTTGTGGTAAATTCTGTTTCGCAAACAACGTCTACCTGTCTTGTCAGCCTTTCACTATCCAAGAGGAAGCGCCGCATAGCAGAACTGTTCTTTCTCGTAAATTAAGATCACACATAAACATCCAAAGCAATATTTTGCCAAAAGTAAAGATCCAGCGAAAACTATGGGTCATTTCTATAACCCTGAAATAATTTTGGGAGAAAAATTTGCCACAAATTTGCATATCAAGTTTTGCTGAAAATGAAAGCTTACAAATCAAGTGAAGCATTATGATGCATGCTTCCTTTATTTAATTCATGTGGAAAGTAAGAAAATAATTAAACAGGTATGTGTTTCAACACAAACAAACAAACTCTGTGCCTGTGTAAAAAGCTTGGAACAGTTTCTTGTTTCAATCCAGGAAACCTTCAACGATCAATAAATTCACCGAAGAAAGATACTTCGTATAATTGTCGCTATTGTCTTGTTTTTGTACCCCATCAATCTGCCCCTTACTATTGAAGATTGGTGTCTTCAGTCAAGGCTTTGGATGGATTAAGGCTTTTCATAAAAACAAGTGAAACAGAAAACCTCGTGAGAAGTCGGACTGTTGACGTTCCACGTTTCTTTCACGTTTTGGAGTTGGCCAGAAGATGCAGCCATGGCTCAGTGGTGAAGGAAAATGCAGATCCTCTGTGATGTACTGCTATGTTGTCCCTGTAACTGTGAAAAATTAAAGATGAAACTCATTTTTTACTATATTATCCAAGCTATTCTTCTATAACACATATGGTTTTTACTAAAATAGAACCTAACATCCTAATATCCCGTTTCCACGACTGTTATAAAAAGAAACGGTATAATCACATCTAATGAACCCAACAGGCTATTTTGTAAGCATTAAGATTAATTTTATCCCATCATGCCCTGGATTGAGAGACAAACTTCTTTCCAGAGTACTTACTCCCACTGTATGTCTGAATACGGTAAAGTAAGCAGTGATTTTTTTTTATTTTTAATGTTATGGTAAGTTTCTCTACTTTAAATTAATGAATCAAGAATTAGTTATCAATAGCTCTTGCAGCAATGTACATGATACTCTTGCAGCACTGTTATACTCAGACCTGTTGGAGAACATAAAAGTTTGCTTCTTTTGACTGAGTTGGAAATAGCCAATTTCCAAGAAACACACCCAGCTTGTGGTCAGAGCTGGAATCCTTGGATTGCGGGTCCGACGAGCTGACTACTCAGCCACGCTGTCTCTTCATGGTACCATACCGGAACTACAACAAGAGTAAATCGCTGAATGAAAAGTGTTCATTGATTCCGTGAGTATTTAGACCGCCATAGGTTTTGCATGCACTTTTGCAAATCAGTTCACTGTGCAAAGAAGTCTACATAGGCGTATCACAGGCGGAAACTAAGCTTCCGTTTCCGCGAACCTCTTATACGAAATGTGTATCAAAACCAGAAGGGTACCATTTCAACCCTCCTAATCATTCTACGAATATCAAATGGAAAGCAAATGCAAGAGCTGGTGTCGCATTACAGGCTTTAGGCTTTTATATAGTTAACAATTGACAACAAAGTAACTGAAGCTAAAAAATTCAACTTGGACTGATATAAGTTAAGAAAATTGATCTTTACGCACTGCGGATTGGAGAACCGATTAACTTTTAGTTTCTTTTATTTTTCTTTCAAATGGATCACCATGCATAGAAGCATGATTTGTAACAATGGAATAAATGTTTGATATATTGAATGACAGCCAGTTACCTGAAAGTTGACCAATGAAAGCTTTTAAAACTAGACATAGGTTTATATTTATTCGGATTAATGCACACACATTTATATGCCAGTATACAACAATCGTGTATAAATGATTAAAGATTAAAGAACAAAACGAGGCTGCCAAAGCCGTTGTTTATAACTGAATCTACAAGTACTAGATGTCAAATAAGTAGTGTGTTAGGAATCAACCAACTTCAACCGTCGCGGAAGCAGTAGACGATAAAACTTTTACAAACGAAATGGCAGACAAGACAGGCAAGTTCTGCATTGCTGAGCACGGTCAGGTGGGCCTTGGTTATCCCTTTCATGATAGTGTTAAAACGACCGCCAGTTTGCGTCCAAGAGACTTATCTTTGTATAGAAACAACTCAAACTGCAAGTTTGAAATGAAACGACCTGAATCCCACACCTTAACGTTGTAAATGCCTTATGCAACTATAACTTGAGGAACCCTACTTGAATCTATACAAGAACGGAAGTTATTTGTTAACTTCAAAGTGCGACAAACAACCTTAATTTTCCTACCTTGCTAGCTTATAAAGTCCAGCTTTTATCCCTTTTTCCGGTTATATCTTATTAGATCTGACTTTATGGATTTATCTTGCTCAGAATCGGCCAATTAACAAGATCTAACTAAACCGACGCCGCCATTTTCAACGCTAAATCAGCCAAGCGGAATCAGATTTACGTAATTCTTGCAGAATTCACAGTGACCGTATCAGGGCGCATAAATCGGTTGAGACACCCGGAGGTGCTAGGGCAACGAGTGAACAAACTCACTTCCGGTGACTTCAAACCGGGATTTTAAGTACCCCTGTGAAGCCGCAGGACTCTTTTTGGGTAGCGCTCACCACTGTCCTATTCTAGCAATTTGGAAACTTCTTTTATATTTTAGAGCAGCCAATTCCAAAGATAAAACACTGAATATCAATTTCCGTGGCCGCCCAGTGACTTTCTTCCTACTGATCGATCTTTACGCTGCCTGTTAGTTTTTTCTGCTGGTACAATCCGATAAAGTAAAGAACCTGAAATATTCAGTTCATCTAAATTTTTTAGTGCACATACCCTTGAATTTTACGAAGAATTGCACATATGCGCGAGTTTTAGTGTTAATTTTTCCCTTAAAAAGCATATCGCCGTCAATTCTGGCAATCGTAGCCCTTTTGTTACGTCATCAGGTAACTCGTATTAGAGCTATAATTTGGACGTAATTAAGTCAATGTCACTCCCACCAGCAATAATTTAAACTAAAACATGACTCCGCTTTACTGAATTTGAGTTAATAATATCATTGTCACACAATGCTCAACATGTGTGCAGTAACAAAATTTTGCATTCAGACAATGACGGACAAAAGTGTTGAGACATTTCCATGAATTGGTACCCTTTTTACATAGTAGACATCTCTATCCCCCCAACCGCTTCCCCCCAAAATCCGAAATCAATGTTGTAAATCAGACTACAACGTATTTGTTGTGGTTCAATTTTATTCTTGGTTCTCTTCCCTTTGGTTCTCACTCGTTATCATCCATTAACATTCCAAAAAACAAAATTTAAACCAGGGAAAAAATTGAACCACAACATCTACAGTAGTATATCCTTTCCTTAAACTACACTGTAGTTAATTTGTGACAGTACTGACCTTGAATCCCTGATTGTACGTTTTGCATCTTTTTTAGTCTTCCACTGATCTTGATATAAAGAAAAAACAAAACACAGCACCTGAGAGAATAGCCGGTTACTCTCAAATAATATCTACTGAAGAGATTCTTGAGTTTGAGATTTTATAGTAGAGTTCAACAAAATAGCTGCTTTCCATTAACGCACACAACAAAAAACTTGTGAAGGTATTTGTAGTTTAAAACGTCCATTTTTGCAATGGTTTTCACTTCCTGCAATTTTCAACAGTTTATCAAACACAGCCAAAGCTTCTGTTGAGTTTCCAGCCTTATTACAAATCCTGCCATAATGAAATCCAAGTTCAGCTAAGAGTACTGTAAATTCTCTTCCATTTACAATCAGTTGTTCTTGCTTGTTCGTAAGTGCACTAAGAATGGTTTCAAAAAAGCTTGCTAAGGATTTAAAATGAACATTCTTTGGCCCACAATCCACTTGATACTTAAGAGTGACTGGCTTCTAATTTTAAAGGCCATAACCCTGGATGACATTGTAACAAAACAGCTGGTTGAAAGTCCCTTTTCCATTTACCACAAGTTACACTCTGTGATCAAGCAACAGCATGTTTGATGTTAATGTATTTTTGCTATTCCAAAGTCATTTACCTAAATGTAAGACAAAATGCCACATACTAAACCAAAACACACATAAGCAGTAGAATCACTTCTCCTCCTCAAGATCTTTGTCTCCAAGGCCATGCAGTGCCACACCAAGCTCAAGCATCACTGCCATAACGAAACTCATCATCTTGGATAATGTACAGCTCCCTAAGCTGTTTGATGACAGAAATTTGCTCCATGGTGGTGTCGTAACTATAAATAAGAGAAAATATAGACTGCAAAACAGTCCGTATTTTGCGTATTCAAGTACGCGCGAGCAGTCAAACAAAAGGTGTGGAACGAGGCTGAAAACAGAGAGCGAGACTGGGGAGAGACGCTAAAAAATTTGGACTGTCCGTTTTGCATACGTTATATTCGTTCGAATTACCCGCTTCTCCCAGCCACGGGCAATTCCCGTTGGCTAAATTTCGATGCAAGCTGTCACCAAGCCGTCAAGTAATGTTTTCAACAAGTCATTCGGGATATTCCCTACCGAAATGAATTGTTAAAGCTTACGCCGTAAAATGATAGATCGGCCGGATATGCTCGCAAGAATTGGGATTTGTTTTAAAATCGGAGCAGAGGGAAGCTTTTGAGTTACTGCTCAGGGGAAAGGATGTTTTCTGTGTTCTACTAGCCGGATTTCACAAAAGCCTCATTTATCAGATGTGGTTCATGCAAAGAGTTCGTCAAGTTCTGTTCAACGGCCGACCGTCATTGTTATCTTGCCTGGTTAAGAAAGGGGGATCGGTAGGAAACACACGACTTTCACCTCATGCAAAAATGCTGCTTGTTCCAATGAATAGTTTTCTCTGTCGAGTAGATTATGCTTTGGAAGAAAACGTTTTGACTGAGCAATTGTGAATTTTGGCCGCTTATTAAATATATTTCATACTTACAGGTCGTGACACGCATATTGATTTTCTCTGGTCGGCATGATTTGCCCTTTGATGCAAGAGCATTTTCTTTCTTGGCCCCTTGAGAAATGTAAAGCTCTTCATTGCGGCTGATTAAGGGTTTTACGTTGTTTTATTTCTCCAAAGTGTCTCCTGGATTTGAATAATTTTAAGCGATTTTTTTTATGTCCGTGAATGTGACTATTTCCAGCAATGTTTTGTCACGCTGGACCCAGCTCGTTAGGGTTTTTAGCAGGATTTTAAATTCTCACAGATAGTGATTTACAGAGCTAAATCACCAAGACGTAGATTGGAATGAGGGGATTTACTCATTCTTTTCAATCGCAATAATTGTTCATTGTCAGTTGGCGTGTTCAGTTCTTCTCTAATTTGCGAAAGCATCACCGTGCAGTTTCCCGGGGCAGTTTCTAACCTTTGTTCCGCACGAGGAGAAAACTCTTGTGGAGAAAGATTCTCCTTCCTTGGGGACAACGAACTTTTCGTTTTTTTGTAGGTCGGCCCACTTTGGTAACGTTTCTCCTTTTCTGGTAGGCGCAACAAACACATTTTCGAGCTTATCCATCCACTCGTAAAATTGCCGAACTGTGTTTTGAAACAACAGCCGCACATTCTACAATTTATCCATCCGAAGCGCTTGGCACTTTCGGCTTTCTCCCTCTTCGAGGAGCAGGCAGGCTTTGTTGTTGTACTGCCACTTCCACTCATTTTTGATCCTCCACTATATATACTACATTTCACAGAGAAGCAACGCCAAAAAATGCTTTAGAATTACCGGATTACAGCGTCAAGATTCGAAGCCAAGAGCAGATAATAACACGCGGTATTCTCCCTCGAAATCAATCACCGAGTGTATCAATTTCATAAAGAGGGCGGGGTTGTGAACAGATTTTTGACAGCCCGACGACATTTTTGAACCCCCTGGTCGGAACGAACTCATTGTATGGAAAACGGACAGTCGGTTTTTTCTCTCTCGCCTCACACGTCCTACGGGCGTGTGAGGCTCGCGCGGTTCGCGCGCATAAGACTCTTACGCCACGCGTTACCGATTTCTTTACTGATTTTCAGGAAAAAACCGACTGTTTTGCAGTCTAGAGAAAATATAGACCACTAAATGGTGTACAATACTGGGCAGGGTTGTTCAAAACAGAATTGGGATAAAGGATAACCCAGGATCATCTTCGTCAGAGTCAGCAACAGTCATTATATTCAGGACAACACTCACCGCGAAAATCATATTATTTTACCTACTTATGAAGTGACTCCTGGGTTCAAATGAACCCCTCTAATGACAATGGAATACACATGTATACAGGACAAAACATTTTTAGGAGACTAAGACGAGTACAGTGTATAAAATAAAAGAGATATTTTTTATGAAACCTCATCACCAGCACAGGGCTGTAGCTAGAATTTCAAATTGTCGGGTATATCTACAGTTATGTAATTAGTAGGAGGGGAATTGTACAGCCAGGAAGTTCTTTTGGTTCTACATATGTATTTTACTTTTATCTCCTACAAGAGTAGCTGGGGCTCATGCTCATAGTCGCTGAGGGAAATCCCTGGTCCCTGTTTCTTTGCGACAGTCCTGTGAGCAATACATGCACATGTACTTCACATGACCTTACAGTGCGACCGGGAAAACCATGAACACTTGTGGTTTAGTTTTCTCATGCCTGATTGGCTTTTCTCTAGCAGGACAATAGCATTCCAGAAATATTTCTGGTGTTCACAGTTTTCCCGGTTTGACTGTAATATTTCTTTTCAGGATCTGGTTCATACATGAATGATTGTATGCTAATGAAAGAGCTACATGTAAATGGACAATTAAAATGAGGAACTCTTTCCCTGTTTCTGCAACAGGTCCAGAAACTTTGTGATGTCTGTGTTTTTGGGAACTTACTTCTTTGCCTTGTAAGAAGCAAGCTCTTCCTGAAGAACTAAACAAAGCTGACTGCTGTCAATATTTTCAGCATCTTTCTGTTCTGCTAAAACACTGCACAGGGTTCTACGGTAAACAGAGAAAAATAGAAAGACAGGTAAGACATGACATAATGTATTGGACTAACAGAATCTCATACTTTTTAGAAAAGGGCATCTCACTGAAGGATTCATGCAGTTGTAATAAAAATATGACATCTTCATGTATTCTCACCCAGGGGTGTGTGCGTGGTTTTAATCAAAATTAATTTTTTAACGAAAATTCACGACAAACCTTGATTTTTCAGCGTGTTTCTTTTCATCTTGCATACTTTTCACCAGTTCATGTTTCACTGTGGTCCATTGTTTTATCTGCTGCCTTAAGACATTTGCATCACAACCAGTTTGAAGTGTTATAAGAACCTGAGTGGTAGCTGTTGTCAGTGCACCACCCATCTGTTTGGTTCATCGCTGACAGTCAGTCAGCAGTGCAAATTTTGTTAGGAGCTTCACCTAAAAGAAATCAGTTATATTATTAACGATGGAATGACAGGACAGATTACTGTAAGACCCATCTGGTGGGTTAACATCACAAGTGTTTGCTTCCATTTCTCAGAAAAAAGGAAAATTATTAATGTGGCATTTTATGCACAGTGCAAACAAATGAATCACATTAAGTATTTAATACACAATATCAAAACAATGATTGATGAGCACTAGTATTATATAAAGGATAAATTTGGTAATAATCACTATTGGGGCTTATCAAAATGGTACATCATTTGCCTGATTTGCCTTGTGGCACAAAATTTTTGCGGGTTCTAATTTTTGCGATTTTTCCAGCACACATTTTTCCTGTAAAAAATTTTTCCACGGGAAATATTTTCCAACTTAACTTCTTCCAATCGATCATCAGAACAATCAGTCATCCCAGATGTTACTTTAATCGAATGACAAAGAAAAGTAATCTGTTATACTCATGGTTTTACATACAGCGTAGGGTTCACAAACTGTAGCATTGTTTGAAACTTTCTTCACTGTATCTATTTCCATTGCGCATACTTAATACAAAGGAAAATATTAACAATGACTGGCCTGGGACTTTCTGAAATCACAAAAATCCATTCCCAGCAAGAAAAACCAATCTCTCCTAATTGCAAAATTTGTTCCCGCAAAACGCAAAAATCGCAAACTTCCGCAAACATTTCATGCCACACAGTATGTTAAAAAATTACAAGGCTTAAGGCCATACATGTATTACCTCCACAATCCTTGTAAGAATTTCCTCCTCAGTCTTGCCAGCAAAGCACCATACTCTCAGCTCTTCACAAGCAATAGCTAACAGAGGAACTCCTTCAGTAAAGCAATCTCTCTGATATGACACACAGCCCAAATTGTACACATTGCAACCTAGCCAGCGGAGCTCGTTTGGAGACAATAGGATGTCTGGATCATCAAGGGCAGAATGAATAACAGAGTTTGCTTGTTCCAGTACTGGAATACAGTCCTTAAGGATCTGACATCTGCATAGTGTAAATAAAGAATGTGTTAACATTAACAGCACGGTAAACTCTCTCAAGATTGACACCCAAAAACGTTCGACTCTGTAGTTCTTTGTACAGGCTGTAAGCGTCCACCAACAGCTGTACATTCATTCATTCCCCCATTCTTTATAGATATTCTTACTAGATTTCTCTCAGTCTCTTTGGACCTTCCCACACCCAGACTACTTACAGTACATCTTCCTCAAACTGCCACCTTGTCAGAGATATTGCCTACAGTGTATATCCCCGTTTGTGTGCAACACAAAAAAAACAAATTCTAGAGATATTTGTAATTTTGTTTCAAGAGTCGTTAGGCTGATTGGCAAGAGTTGAGGATACTGGATATGCAATAAAAGTTTGAGCAGTGTTACATGTATAATGTTATGGTTCAAATTTATCCTTGGTTTACTTTTTATTTCCCAGGGTGCAAGGAAAGTCATTTTTACAGCTTGCCATTTGGGCAAGCTGAAGCTAGCATTTATTAGCCCAAATGTCATTTCAACTAGCCCCCCAATTTTTTTGATGAACAGAATTGATTTCACAGTTCTTCTGTAAGTTGAATTCCTCAACATACTTTACTTGCACATTGGGCAAGTTAAGAACAGAATTCACTAGCCCGATGGCAAAATCCACTAGCCCCGGGCTATCAGATGCTACTTTCTTTGCACGTTGTTTCCCTTTGTTTTTCACTCATTTTTATCTGTTAACATCCCCCAAAACAAAGAGAAATAAAAGCACAAGATAATCCTTTCATTAAACTAAAGTGTGTACACTGTAGTTAACTGTTTTAAAGTTTTGCGATACCTGTACTACTGACCTTGAATCCCTGATTGAACGTTTTGCATCTTTTTCATTCTTCAACTGATCTTGATATGAAGACATAATAACAAAACTAAATACTGTCATTTGCCGTTCTGTGGTCTTTAGAACCTGTTGTTTTAGCTGTGCCACGATATCGTCATGTTTGGATTTAAGCAGCTCTGACTTAAGCCGCTCACACTGCAAAGATAAGACTGAGATGTAAGACTGCAGCACTTGTACTGTTCCTTGGAGAGTCTTCAGTGAAAGAGTGGGTGATTTTTCCTTACTCTTTTTGCTACTTTCATTTTGCAAATTAATTCTGAAGTACTCCAGGGAGTCTGAAAGTAATTTTAACATTGGTGAAGGTAATGTGCTACACTTCAGGATCTGGGAGATTAGCCGGTTACTTTCGAATAACATCTGCTGAAGAGATTCTTGAGTTTGAGATTTTATAGTAGAGTTCAACAAAATAGCTGCCTTGCAGACTAAACACACGCAACAACAAACTTGTGAAGGTATTTGTAATTTAAAATGTCCATTTTTGCAGTGGTGTTCACTTCCTGCAATTTTCAACAGTTTATCAAACACAGCCAAAGCTTCTGTTGAGTTTCTAGCCTTATTACAAATTCTGCCATAATGAAATCCAAGTTCAGCTAAGAGTACTGTAAATTCTTGTCCATTTGCAATCAGTTGTTCTTGCTTGTTCATGAGTGCACTAAAAATGGTTTCAAAGAAGCTTGCTAAGGTTTTAAAATCAACATTCTTGAGCCCACAATCCACTTGAAATTTTGTTCCACATTTCAGAGTTCTATCCACTAAGGATTTTAGTGAACAATGTACATTTGCTTCTGCTTTAAAAAGTAATGAGAGCTTTCTCCAGTCTAACACAACACACAAGTGAGATGGTCTTTCCCCTGGAAGTACTTTTGTCTCCTCAAGCTTCCCAGCTCCTTGAAGTAACAAATCAGATGAACGTAAACAAAGTGATCCAATTTCCTTGTCCATCTTTTCACTGTCATAGCTCTTCCATGCCTTAAGAAGCTGGATGAATTTATATAGGTCATTAGCATGATCCAGAGCCCTTTCAAACTGTGCCTTGGCAATGAGCTGAGCAACAATAAGGTAAAGTGTTTTAGCAAGCTGATCTACTGAAGGAATAAACTTCAGGTAGTTTCCATGACGGAGTGATAAAGCGTTGTTGAGAAGTGTCCCCACTGAAATATGAACAAAACAATTTGCAAGTTACATGTAACTTTATAGCCCTCTATTAATCTCACACTTAAAGCGAATGTGGTTTGCTTATCGGACAACTTATATTTGAACCATATTTAAGCCTTACTGGCTCTGGATTATCAGATAGCACTTTGTTGTGCCCTGCTTACACCATGTTGAAAATGCTATTTCCTTCCACTGTGAAATGTGTTGTATGTACCTGGGAGTCCCAGACCATTAGTAGGTTGTAAAGTTTTATTCTTAAGCGAAATTTTCATTTTACCTTTTTGCAGATGACACAAATTTGTTGTATGCCAAAAAAAATCTTAAATCTCTTGAAAAAATGGTCAATAACAAACTGGTCAGAGTCTCGGACTGGCTCAATGCAAATAAGCTAACATTACATGCTAAAACATCAAACTTTGTTATCTTTTGTCCTCACCAACGTAAGATGGACCATTCGGTCAATATTCTAATGTTTGATAATAGTAATCACATTCTTACTTCCCTTGAGTGTAAGGATCATGTAAAATATCTAGGTGTCTTACAGGATAGTCATTTGAGCTGGAAATACCACATTGACAATGTAGCACTAAAAATAAGTAGAATTTCATTAGTAAGGTTTTGAAGCTGGCCCCATTTTAAGAGTAAGCATTAAGCTTATTTTAGGAACTCAGAAAAGACCTTACTCCCAAACAGCAACTAAAGATGTTCACATGCTTCATCTTACCTAGTTTCAAGGCATCAATAAGGTCATTTCCCTTGGCTTTCACATTTTTCAAGGTCTCTATAGCACACCTTAGGAACTTCGTACAAAAAACGGCGTACTTTGATACAGTTTCCTCTGTGGCTTTGCCTCCTGCTTGGCAGCCATTTTTGTTCTTTAGCGGACATTGCAGTGGAGCAAGATAATTCTGCAAGTTCCACCAAACAATATTAAAAACAACATATCAAGGGTGAAGGCTACCCCATTTAAAATATGGAGTTAAGAAAAATGAGAGGCTTTGGCAAAAAAGACGTCTAAAATAAGTGTAATTTATTAGGTTGAGGTTCGCTTTCAAGTGACACTCATTCTATGACCTGCTCATGAATATAGATGCGCGCGATTCTTGCAATTGAAGCTAGAGTGTAACAAGACGCTCGCTTTGAAATGAACTAAATTTTTATTCAAGGAAACGTTTTTGAAAGTGAGTAGCCTTACAAATCGTAAGTACCTTCGCTAACTGAGCTACAAAGCATCATCAATTAAGCTACCATAATTTCTCAGCAGCTTAAATTTAGCCCCGGCGTTGTCAATCAATGGTTTCCGATCGATTGATTGCAATCAATACAATCAATAATAATCAATAACAATCCATTGATTGTTATTGATTGGTGCAACCAATCGATAAAAATCGATACTCACAGTCGGAGTCTTAATTGCTATTGATTACCATTGATTACTATAGAAAATCATTGATTAATAATTCATTATGCAACTTTCTGGCGCGTGTTAGCGTGGGCGTGCTTCATTGGTCCTGGGCATATTTACACGTCCAGGGTAATTGGGTAATTCGATTGCGCACTTTTATCCTTGCACTTCAACCGGGATTCCCAGAACACACTTGTTACGGAGTTTGCTTGTTCTAGAGATGGCGAAGCAAGTTGAATTGTCAGTGCGCTGTGTAGTCAAGGGCTATCACGAATGCCCTTTTGAAGTGAATGTCGGAGAAATATTCTACGCATTCAAGAAGAGAGGAGAACGTGGGAATGCCTTCAGAGTTACGAATGATCGGGGGCAGCTCGGCCATCTTCAAATCGAGCTTGTTGGTCCTCTTTGGCCCTCTATGATTCTTTGTATTATGGTGTTGTTGCACTCTCTAATATACCAAGCAAGTGTTCTGAGCGTTGTAGAGTGCCTTCTTTATGCTACTCTGGAAGCGCATTACATTTTCCTTTTAACAATTATTCTGCTATCTTCCCTTTCGGTTGCACGGGTGAATGTTCAAGATGTATGTTCTTGGCCTGCATGCGTATATTCAGGCAGCATGACAGTGAGCGCAGACAAAAACAATTTCCTCAACTAATTAACAAGCTGGAAGAGAGTGACACTGAAGAGGCTTAAAGACAATTTTGTTCTTGTTTCGAGACGATCAGAGTCTAGTAATATAAGTGGCTTTTAATAGTAATAAGGGGTAAAAATGTTACAAATGTAACATAAAACACAACAAGTAAAGATAACTGAATGGTTTGTTCATTCATATGGTGCGTTTTATTTAAGAAAATGACAAATTTCATAATCAATAAAAATCAATAATAATCAATAACAATCGATGCAAATCAATAGAAATCGATACTCACACAACTTTAAGTCAACGATTTTTATCGATTTCCAATACCAATCGATTAATTGTTATTGATTATTATTGATTATTATTGATTTTATCGATTATCGGAAACCATTGATTGACAACGCCGGGATTTAGCAAACAGCTAAGTTTGATCAACTTACCTTCGTATCCTCATAAAGACCACCTATCTCTCTGTTTAGAAGTGATTTGAGGATTCTTTCCCCTTGCATGTTTCTGTAAAGCTCTGCCCATTACCAGTTCGTTTATAACATAGTGTTTTACAGCACACTTTCGATGGTGAAACTCATCAAACGAGTCAAAAATGGCGCCTTCGTGCTTCTGCCAAACAACGCAGAACATTGTGTCGTGACGCAACGTGCGTGACGACTCAAAAGTTGTGTGACGACTTAGTCATCCCGTTGTTACTGGCTGATTAAGACTTTTTGGTCTTGTCAGCACAATTTTTGCTTTAAATAACATTCAACTCTAATTATAGTCGCTTTCTTAACGTCAAATCAGGAGCCTCGAAGTTCTTCCCGACTAGCGGCAAAATTTTCAAGTCGGTTTTTTCCAGTTTGTTTTTATTAAGGTTAAGTCGACAGGTTAAGTTTATTGTTTTGCCATCAGTTTTCAGCTAAGTACAAAAATATATAACTTCTATGTTGTCCTCGAAAGGTGGGGCCTTTTTGGTAAAAATGACAAATGTTTGGGGGTGGAATCTCAGACGTCCGAGATCGTTCCCAGCCCCTTCGCTTCTCTTCCTTAGGCTAGGCGCCCGTTACTCAGAACAGAACATATCCAAAAAAGAAGAAAAGCTAAGAGCCTAGATGGAACTTATACGAGAAGTCTGCGAATGGTGAAAAATATATCCTGGAAAGACAAGCAAAACACTTGCAAGGGCTGCAAGAGGGAGCTAGTCCGACAACTGCCTGCATAAAAACATTGCGGAGGGATATTGGCATGGAGAATTCGAACGTTAGAGATCTTGTAGCCCTAGATACAAATATCACCTAAAATCGCCTAAATATGTTTCTGGAAATTCCCAATTTTTTTTCTACATATCTGGAAAAAGTTCTAAAAATCTCAAAAATATTTGGCTTAATTTTACAAATAGTACAGTAAAAACACCAAAAATTAACCTGACACCTAAAATGGCAACACAAATTTCAGGAAGTGGCGTTTTTGTATACAGCAGACAACAAAACTCTAAACAACTTCACATAAAGTTGGCCTTATTTCAGTACCCCGCAGCATTCCAGGAAGATCACATGGGTTTGAGATGGCTGAACAGTCAGAAGAAGATCCCCTTGTATACCAGACTGGGCACCGTGACTATAGAAATTCACCTGAGTGTATATCATCGGGAAAGTTCAAATAATAAAAAGAGGAAACAACTTCTGTTTGAGCTGCCTTGAAGAGCAACGCCTAGTTGCATTGCTCCAGGGGTCAGTTGAATCAGATGATTCACCTTCGTCAGGTGGTGACGAAGAGGAAGGGGAGAAAGCTCAGGCGGACAACGTTTCAGAGCCAATTAGATTTGAAGGTGGAAGGAGTAGGCCTGGAAAACATACAACCAGATATGTCCTCTGAAAATCTACATTGGTTATTAAGCCAGGAAAAGCCATTAATGGGCTTGACACAGAAAAGCTTTTAAACTGTAGAACCTGCGGCTTGCATCATTTAATGTTTCTACTTCATGTAAAGATCGAAGGTATTTTGCTATTGGTAATTGATCGTGAACCTCACTGTAACACACACAGAGTGAAAGAGGAAATTCAGTAGACTACACTAGCGCTAACTATGTTTGCTGTTTGACTAAAAATGTATTTATTCGAATTTTGAATCCAGTGCTTTCTTGTGATCCTATAAACCTCCGGGTGGCCTTGCTCGTATGAGCAACACTGAAAATAAATCTATAGATACTCTTGATGAACGCTACATCTGAAAAAATCACGTTTCCGCCGCAAGATCTTTCAAGATGTGCGATACTTAAAGGGAAGTGGACTACTTTTAATGTATAAATTAAAAATAACTTACATTCTGTATCTTACTAACGCTCCCGTTCAAGAAAATGAGGTTTTATCATTTGTCTAGCATTATGTAATGCATAAAAAGAGGTTGATTGATATTGATCTTTAAAGCTCTGATAAAACCTTCAACTTGCACTAAACATTAAAGTTAATGTTTTTCTCTTCAGCCCATTTGAGCATGTTCTATATTCTATATTTGGAGATAAACAAAGTTGTCTAAGTTAAAATTTTGTGTAAAAACATGGATGGGATCAATTTCTTTATCAGGACTCAGGGATCAAAATAATGGCAAGAAAATAGGGATCAATGGGTCCTGGATATACCATGTTACGACCCTCATATCATGAGAGAGTTTTAAAAACAGCTACTCATTTGAACATTTTACCCTTTTGGAAGATGTTACAATATGTGTGATTTTATAATCATTAACTAGGGTTACACTTGGGTCTAATGTCACCTTTTGATATACTCTGGATTGTACTTGGTCATAATAAGTCGAACCTAAACAGAAGACTTTCGTAACAAGAAACATGGGTACCATTTTTTAGTCGGGGCTGTTTAGTACCTTTTCAAATTCCACCAATATGAATAAAAACTAGTAATAGTTGACACCACAGCTGTCCCCGTTCTAGCCTGTTTTTAATAAGGCTCCAAGATAGTGGTTAAAAGTCGTTTAGTAAAAAGAAATGCGAAAAACGCGCGGGGGCTGGGAAGAGACCGCCCCTTGGTTCCCAACTCGCGCGCGTCTTATTTTCGGTTTGCGCGTTTTAGTTCGTCCCCACGATACTATCTGAGAGCCTGGCACGGGCTACGTCCGATCTGTATACTGTCGGTCAATAGTATTCTTGGTCGTTGCGTAGCTCTTTGATATATACCTATTCATTATGAATATTTCATTCACACATATTCCATACAATAGGTGAGATAAAAACAGGAAATGCAAGTTCCCAAACACAGTTTCAATTCGATTTACACAGCTTTGATAAAAATATTCTCGGTTTCGAGAATAGCTCATTCTAAACCATCAGAAAAGATTTACAGTTCATTTTACTTGACGGCAAGTAAGCTCCCGGCTTAGAAATGAAAAGGACGTTTGATAACTTCACGCTCGTGCATTCTAGACTTATTAAGCTGATTTAGAAACAGAATGGGAACGTCAGTTCACGACGGCGCGCGCAAATCAAATAACTGGCTTGACCAATGGCAGAACGACAAATTGGGCACCGGAAGTCGACTTTAGTCCTTTCCGCGCGCTTTCCCGTCGTCAACTGACGTTCCCGTCCTTTTGCTAAATCAGCCTATTTTAAACTTTATAGCGGAAGGACATCTGTGAGTAGGGGATAAGTCAGCACAGAATTTGATTGTCGGAGAATTTCTGTAATCGTCAATCGTTCTGCTAGTGATAAGCTAGCCGTTCACTTTACTCATCTTCCTTGTTTGGGGCTGAGTCTTATTCCAGTCAAAGAGAGAGAAAGAGTGTCTGGCAAGGTTTCCAATCAATTAACAATTTAACAATTATTCACCGAAGTGGCTAGGTGTGGTTATTAGTGAGTTTATACGCAACCACGACGGCGATAGCAACGAGTACAGAAAAAAAGCAATAGATTTAGACAAGCAAAACAACAACTTTGTACGTGCATCACGCTTTTTTGTACGTCTCTCTGCCGTCGTTGCACGACTACAACATGAAACTGCCTAATTTCTCGTTTTGTCGAGGGTGGGAACAAACGGACAATAACTTTCTTTTTCTTTTCCTCAACTTTGATGCAGTCCTTTAGAATTCAACTCCAAAAAAATTTGCCAACATTTGACGAATTAAACGAGATGGAATAAGCGACGTTTTCGTAGCCGTCGCGTTGAGTAAACTCCCCGATTTACCGAGACGCGGAGCGGCGAGGTAAAGGTGTTACGAAAACTAAGACCCTCGAAAACTAAGACCTAAGACCTAAGACCCGTCTTAGTTTTCGACATTACGAAAACTAAGACCCCCTAAAATCAAATCCGTCGAAATATGAAGTCAAATTGTAATCGCAATAGGTCTAATCTGTCAAATTATCTTCTCTCCGATTCTTTCCACCGAGTTTTAGGTCGAATTTAACGGTAAATTTAGGGGTCTTAGTTTTTGTAATTTCGAAAACAAAGACCCTCTTAGTTTTCGTTATTACGAAGACTAAGCCCCCCTTAAAAACCAATCCGTAATATATATATGAAGTCGAAATACGACCGTTCAAAGACTATAAGCCGTAAAACAACCAAAAACTATCATCCGCGTACTGACGATCCGCTTCTTTTAATTGTTTGCAGAAAACAGAGGAACGAGGTTGCTCTATAGCCCCCTTGGATTTTGATACGCGACCAGTTGCTAGGTGTGACGCACTTCCGGAAAGTGTGTCACTCAGTGTCAGCTTAAACGCATTGTGGCGTGCCGAAGTGTGAAGATTGAAGGAGAGTTTCATTCAAAATTGAAAACTGGGGAATTGCCTCTGTAAAGAGAAAGAAATCGGCAGAAAAACAGACCAGAGGATTAGGACCGAGAGAACGTTTTACTCTCCCCGCAAAATTGTCAGAATATATCAGGTCAGAAGACACGCCGATGTGATATAAATTTTATACAATAATAAGTCCTGGAAAACGGAGTATATTTCAAGAACGTAACGTATCTTGACTAGAAGCAAGTAATATTGGTCATCACAGCTTGAACAGAAGCAAGAAAAGTCAAATTGGACATACTGCGGCTGTAGTTTGTCAATGAATCCAAGCAGTGAATAAATTTTGTTGAATTGATGCTGAAAAGGGGAGTCAAATTGCTCTCCTGGTGTCTCCTGCAGTCCTTTTTCTTAGTAACGGAAATGAAAATTGTTCTTTAACTTCCGGTAAATTGGTCAACTTTTGAGTAGATTTTCTCTTAAATGCGAAGGTATATTCGAAAAAGAAAACCAGATGTGCATATTACATCACCTGAACTTACTGCAGAAAGATTTTGAGGCCAAAATAAAATGTTGAAAATTCGCCGGTGCAGATACCTTAATAATGACCCAAAAAGCAATAATGGACCGGAAAGATCAAGGAGTCCTTCTTTCTGATTTTAAGCGCTTATATACATGATTCAGAACAGAAAAAGATTAAAAATTTATAACAAACGGCGCGCCATAATATGAATCTTTGTCGCTTTCCGGGTTTTGGGAATACGTGAGTTCCCC